TCCTGTCTCCAACGCCCAACCTTTTGTTAAATAAACCTTTTTTCTGGAACCACTCTCAATTTCGGAGTCTGCTTTGGGGTCCAATATACAAACCTTAACACAGAATCTCTGTAAGCGTAGCACATGTTTTTTTCCTTTTTTTTAAATAAATCTTTCCACAGTTTCTTGATTGGATAGGTTTGAGTTTTAACTGGGTCTTTCTAACAGATGAATAGTTTTGTTTTGAACTATTACTTTATATTAAATACGATTTATGTTTTGAGAATGTTTCTAATGGAAGGTAAACTTCTCCTTCATTGAATTTAGCAGATTCCAACAACTTTACTTCCAAGATTGACCTGTAAATGGCTCACCTCTGACACTATTCTCTGTCCACAACATGATGCTGCCACGACCAGGTTTGACAGTGGCAGCATCATGAAGAAATGTTAATGTTGCACCACTAATCAGCATTTTGTATTTTGGTTTGGAAGTATTTTCTTCCACGTACACATCACTTCTTGTAGTTTAATTTCAATACTTTTTTATCACCAGATTTTTGTGACATGGCTAATATTTGCCCCATGTATTGTGAGCTGTGAATGATTGCAGGCAGCTGTTAGTTTTGGCAGACGACTGTCTCATTTGAAGACGGGAAATAATTGCTCAGCCCTGGGTTGTTCCCTGGATACAGTGCAGCAGGAGGGTCCTGGACAAACTAACATCTATGCTGGACCATGACTGTCACCCCTTGCAGGACACTCTCTCTGCTCTGGAGAGCAGTCTCAGTGACAGACTAATTTACCCTCGCTGTGTGAAGGAGAGGTTCCGTAGGTCTTTCCTTCCTGCTGCTGTCAGACTGTACAATAAGAATTAATAGTTACTTAATGTAACTTAAGTTCTACGAATAGGTGCGTAGTCCCTTAGGACTTTGCTAGTGGGATATCACTCGTGACCCCCAGGTCACGCGCCAGAGAGATCAAAATAATTTGCTCCAATCACCAGCCACCTTCCTCTATAAATGCCCCTGCACAAGGCCGTACCCCCTCTTGAACTCTGCCAAGCCGGGCTGGCCTGATGGGCTCGTAGCTAAGGGACTACGCACCTATTCGTAGAACTTAAGTTACATTAAGTAACTATTAATTCTACGTCATGGTGCTACGTCCCTTAGGACTTCGCTAGTGGGACACAACGCGGAGGCCGTAGGAAAATGTACTCCCAGCAGGCCAGCGAAGGTGATTGGAGCTCCGCCCGAGCAAGACCCTCACAACGTGAGAGGACTCAGGGCAGAAGAAACAAGCGTGTTATGGGGCCACTCCTACCAAGGATACCCCCACGTAACACAAGCCGTAGGTCATCCGTAGTCACAGGACGCCTCTCCCAAGAGCTCCTGACGTGGACTACCAGACCGACCACACACACAAAATGTACCGCACCTGTAGGATGCCTCTCCCAAGAGCTCCTGCACCAGGGCGGAAAATAGACCGAAGGCCCCCCTCAGGGGAGGGACCCAACGGTCTAACTCAGTCCGCTGCACTCAGCACGGAATGGGCCACCGACCGGTCCGACACATCCGAAAGATAAGACCGGACGAAAGAGGAGGACGACGCCCAAGAAGCCGCACGGCAAACGTCCTCGACCGACGCCCCCCTGAGAAGGGCCGTAGAGGCCGCCATCCCACGCGTGGAATGCGACCTGAAACCCACCGGGGGGGCCAGACCCTGCGTCTGATACGCCCGCCGCACCGCCGTGGCGACCCAATGCGCCAGCCGCTGAGCCGACAGCGGGGCGCCCCTGTTCTTGGGGCCCAGACACACAAACAGCTGATCACCCGACCTGAATGATGACGTCATGGCCAGGTAATGCCTCAGCATTCTGATAGGACACAGAAGGTGCTGCCGCTCCTCCTCGGGGGAGGCATGCGGCGGCGGGTGGAAAGCCCTAATCCTGATGACCCTCGACCTAAAGGCCGACGTGATGACCTTGGGGAGAAAAGCCGGATTGGGCCACAATTCCACCATGCCGTCGTCCTCTCCAAAGGACAGGCACGACGCATGGACGGAGAGCGCACACAAATCGCCCGCCCTCTTCGCAGACGCCAACGCCAGTAAGAGGGCCGTCTTAAAGGCGATACACTCGGGACTCGCCTCCGCCGCCGGTTCAAAAGGCGGACCCGACAGCCCCCTAAGGACCACCCTGAGGTCCCAAACCGGAGGCGTTCTCTGGAGCGGGGGCCTCCTCCTGCGCGCCCCCCGCAGAAAACGTTTAACCAACGGGTGAGAACGGGCTGTGAATCCCCCGAATCCGTCGTGACCCGAAGTAATGGCTGCCGTGAACACCGCCAAGGTAGCGACAGCCCTCCCCTTGTCGAAGAGCTCCTGTAGGAATCCCAGGACCCCCTCCAGCGGGCAACACCTGGGATCCCAGGAACGGGAATCGCACCAGACACTGAATAGCCTCCACCTCGTGGCGTAGGCCCTCACGGTGGACGGCGCCCTCGCTCCCTGAATGGTCTCCACCACCGCAGGGGGAAGACCCAGATCTACGAGGCTCTGCCTCTCAACCTCCAAACCCAGAGCCTGCGGCCGATTATCGGACGTGAAAACAGGGCTCCTGCCCCCTGGACTAGAGCCCCCGGCTCGTCCGGGAGGGCCCAGGGCTCCATCACCGCCATGCCCCTCAGGAAGGGGAACCACCGGGCATGCGGACTGTCCGGAGCCACCAGGATCACCGATCTCCTCTCCTGTTCGATCCTCCGCAGCAGGACCGGCAGGAGACGCACCGGTGGAAAAGCGTACAACAGGCCGCCTGGCCATGGGTAATGAGCCAGAGCGTCCACGCCTAAAGGCGGCTCGTCCGCGGCCCTTAAGGCGAACCAGGACGGGCACTGTGCGTTCTCTGCACTGGCGAAAAGGTCGACCACTGGACGGCCGAACCTCCGCCAGATCTCCGCAGCTACCCGTGGGGCCAGGCCCCACTCGTCCTGGAGTGGGCCCCCCCTGGACATCCTGTCGGCTCCCACGTTCCGGACCCCCGGGACGTGGCGCGCCCTGAGAGACAGGAGGTGAAGCGCCGCCCACAGCAGCGTCACCGTCGCCATGCGATGGAGAGCGGGGGACCTGGTGCCCCCCTGCCTGTTCAGATAGGAGACCACTGTGGTGTTGTCTGAGCGCACCATCACGTGTCTCCCCTGCAGCTGAGGGACAAAGTGCAGCAGTACTCTGTGCACTGCCTCCATCTCCAGCAGGTTGATGTGACGGGCTGAGTCCGACCAGCAGCCTCCTACAGAGCTCTGGCCGAGGACCCCGCCCCATCCTTCGAGCGACGCGTCCGTGAACACCTCGACGTGAGACACGGCGCAGGCCAGAGTCACTCCGTCCCGCAATAGACCCGGAGTGAGCCAGAACCTGATGTCCGATGCTGCCCCTTGGGGAACCCAGATCAGCCTCCCCCCGTCCCGGGAGGGGTGAAGCCTGAGGCGCGAGAACCACCTCTGAAAATTTCTCATGTGGAGCAGGCCTAGCCGCACCACAGCATGAGCCGCTGCCATCATTCCCAGCAGGGACCTGAGGCGCCGAGCGGGGACTCTGGGGCCCGCCAGAACCTCCCGGGCCAGACGGGTAATATTCATCCGTCTGTCCACGGACAATGCAGCACGGAATATCACAGAGTCTAGCTGCAGACCGAGATAAACCATGCGTTGGGCTGGCTGCAGCTTGCTCTTCTCCCTGTTCACCACAAAGCCCAGACGCTGTATGTGGGACAGGACCCAGTGCGTGTGGCTCAGGGCCACTTCCCTGGATGGGCCCAGTATTAACCAATCGTCTATATAGGTTAATATTCTTACCCCCGCACGTCTGATCGGCTCCAGAGCTGCTTCCACACATTTGGAAAAAGTCCGAGGCGCGAGTGCGTACCCGAAGGGTAGACGGCAGTACTCGTAATTCCTCTCTCCCACTGCGAAGCGCAGAAACCTCCTGTGTTCTGGCACTATGGGCACGTGGAAGTACGCATCTGTCAGGTCTGTGGATGTCATCCAGTCTCCTTCCCTGACACACTCGAGGAGCTGCTTTGTGGACAGCATCCGAAACTGCCGTTTGGAAATGCACTCGTTTAACACGCGCAGATCCAAAATGGGACGCACCCCGCCTGACTTCTTTGGCACTAAGAAGTAAGGGGAGTACAGCCCCCTGGTGGCGTCCTGCGGGTCTACCTCCACTGCTGCGCCTCGACTCAGCAGAGAGGAGACCTCCGCTTGTAGTGCCTCTGTCGATCCCCGTACCTGAGAGCGTACTGCCCGTACGCCTCGGAATGGTGGTGGCTTTCGGAAAAATTGCAGCGCGTAACCTCTGCGCAGAGTTTTCTCCAGCCAAATATCTGTCAGTAGGCCCTGCTCTCTCCAGATGCTGTAGAAATCTGTGAGGGGCGGAACGGGAGTTGGAACACGAGACGTCACGGCCCCGCCCTCTCCTGGTGTTCCTAGCAGGGAGGGGGGGTGGCTGAAAGGGCCGGGGGGGCCCCTGCGTCACACCGTGAGCGCCGAGGGCGGTCACGTGTTCTGCAGGCCCGACGTCATAAGTACGGGACTGCTCACCACACGTGACCCGGCTGCTGTGCCCCCCCCTGGCTCTTGCCTCATGGAGGGGGGGGCGAGCCCCTGGAGTGGGAAACCCCGTGTTAGCCTTGTAGCTCTGCTCACCACACGTGACACGGCTGCTGTGCCCCCCCTTGGCTCTTGCCACATGGAGGGGGGGACGAGCCCCTGGAGTGGGAAACCCCGTGTTAGCCTTGTAGCTCAGAGATGCTAACACGCGTTCGGCTGGAGCACACACATTATCACTTACCAGATCCCTCCGCCTGCCCTCTCTCCGGGAGGGCAAAACATGAACCCGTGAATCGGAGCCCGTGGCCCGCATAGCACGCTGCACGCCCTTCTCTGGGGGCTGCAGGCCTAGCGGAGCCACGTTATATGCTCGAGAAGTAACACAATCAGAATTCAAATCATTTGACATGTTACATACCCCCAAATGAGACTCAGACAGCGAGTACTGATGAAATGCCGCACGGCTTTTATTGAAAGAATTCTTCCCACCCCGACCTCCTCTGCCATAGGGAGGTTGTTGGTGGGTGCGTTGGTCCCGCGAACCTCCCGTGTGCCTGTCTGGGCCCGGGGGCCTCGTCGCTGGGGAACGATGAACCACGGAGCGTGGATATGGTCCGGGGCGCCTGCCGGGCGAGCGCTCCCTGCCTCTGTCTCGGCTCCGCACTGGTGGGCGGGCCTCGCGTCTCGCAGCTAGATGCTGGGCTAGGCTAGCAGAGTCCTTAGCTGCGGTGTCCAGCCTACTTATCAGCGTCTGCATCTCCGGACCGAAGAGTGACGTTTGGGAGATGGGCAGGTCCAGCAGCTGCCTCTTCTCCGCCTCTCTGAGGTTCACCGGCCCCAGCCAGAGGTGTCTGGCCCCCACTTGTGCTGCTGCCATCGTGCGGCCGCCATCGACAGCTAGCGCCTGGCACATGCGCAAGATCGCTGCTGAAGTGGTCCTCGCCTGGGATAAGGTGTCTCCACTGAGCGCCTGGCCAGAAGAGAGAGACCTATTCAGGGCCCCGGTGATGAAGGCCATGTTGTTAGCCACCGCGACGACCTGAGCCGCATTGGCGTAACATCTATCGTGCATTGCCAAAGACATCCTATCCCGCTCGGAGGGAAGGAGAGGTCTAGTGCCGGGCCACACGGATGCGGAGGGGTGCAGGGCCGCTCGAACCGAGTCCTCGATGTCCGGGACCCCGCCGGTCCAGGACCAGTCCTGCACGTTACAATACATGCCGTACCCCAAAGCGGGCCTCTTGGCCGCTAGGGGCTTTGGCCACTCACGTGTCGCGTAATGGACGATCGGGTCCATACGCGGGCACAACGTGGGCTGCGCTCTCCTCCTCCCTCGAGTGGTGGCGTAACCAGAGGTGAAGTCCTCCACCCTCTGGTTCGGTTGCGGTGGCAGGGGGGCATCCATGATGGCCGCCGCCGTGGAGTAGAGCCCAGGCATGTGGTCCAGCGGGAAGCGGTCCGGCTCCGGGTTGGACACCACCTCGTCCAGCGTGAGGAGAGAGCCGACCTCCGACACCTCCTCGCAGTCACCCCACTCCGCGGGCACGGGTGGGAGGTCGAGGGGGGCCCAGTCAGTCACAGACTCCTCGTCCTGAGAGGAGTCCGGACGGGGCGCTGTAGCGGCGAAGAACGCGCGCCTGCGTTCACTCTCCTCCCTGGGGAGAGCGAGACACGAGGCGCAGGTGGCGCTCAACGCCGCATGGCCCGAACCCAGGCACACGAAGCAGCTGGAGTGCTGGTCCTTGCGCTGGAGCTTGACCCGACAAGTCGAGCAACGACGACGTCCGACGCCGGATGGCGAAGGGGAACTCGGACGAGCATCAGAAGACATCTTTCCTCAGGTAAATTGAAAAGTAGATCTCAATCGGCGCCAGAGTGAAAGGGGGGGTACGGCCTTGTGCAGGGGCATTTATAGAGGAAGGTGGCTGGTGATTGGAGCAAATTATTTTGATCTCTCTGGCGCGTGACCTGGGGGTCACGAGTGATATCCCACTAGCGAAGTCCTAAGGGACGTAGCACCATGACGTAGAACTGCTGAGCCTGTAAATTTCATTCATCTGTAAATAAGTAAATTCTTAAATCATGTGCAATGTGCAATACTGCAACTTCAGAATGTCACAGAAGAATGTCTCTTTACCTTATGTCACTTTACTTATCTATTTATTATCCTGCACTATTTAACTGTACAGTATATAACTGCACTACTACTACATGTATATATTTATTGACTGGTATTGAAGCATTTCCAGCATCTACAGCCAGTTATGCTAGTTAAGAAACATAGCTACTATTTATTTGTATATATTGTGTGATCCCTGTGTGCTCTTACTGTCCTGTACGTGCGCTGCAACAACAAAATTTCCCCACTGTGGGACGAATAAAGGAACCATCGCCACCCCAGTCCTCTCTGGTGGATCCCATGGACTTCATGATGCTGTTTAGTGACCAAAATGAGATCAACTGTAATCATTAGATCACACTCCGGTGGATTGTGTTGTAGCTCACCTTGGGGTATGAATACTTTTTTCACCATTAGTGTTGAAAATGCAAGTATAAAAAACTGTTTTTACAGTGCTCCCATGTAGTAATGACCAACCAGTGGAACTAAAAAGTTGGAAGTTGAATTTTCACAATTTTGCACCCTAAAACACATTGTTTAGAAAAACTACCAATCTAATTGGATAAATCAATATTAGTGGTTATATTCCACAACAAAAGTGTGTTCCATTCACCTCAACAAGTTGTATGTGTTTTTATGGCATCCGTGAAAGCCTGATTCTGTTAGACCTCAGAAGAAGACTGATTGTTTTTACCAAAAGAACGGTCAGACACATAGGTCCCAACAAGACTATTATTAATATGTTTATCCCTGGATGTTTATCAGAATCAAAGGCTTGTTTTGATATGAAGGCGATAAATATAGTTGTAACAATGGAATAGAAAAAGGGTTTTATGTGGTCAAAATGGTTTCAAATTGAAACCAAATATAAATCTCAAAGAAATAGGTTTGTGGTATTCAAATTTACGTAATCATCCCGTAAACACCACACTGCAAAAGAGACCCTTTTATGATACATACAACACTGATTAAAACAAGGCCAAATACAACTTTGCAATACACTTTCTAGCAGATTTTATAGGCTGTTGAATCACTGACAGAAAGCCTCATAAACTCATAAATATTGGGCCTCGTGAATGGCTCTGTTGCCAACACCGTGGACGGTAACAGCAAAGATAAAGGCCGTGTGTGGTTGCCATTTTATCTTTTTATTGACTAGAAGACATTGAACTTGACCTATGAATTGACAAGAATAAAAACCGACCCGTTGTGCCCTGAAGGCCAGCAGCACAATGTCCTGAACAAAGAGATTTTGTCATAGAGAAAGATATTCTATGTATGCTATAAAATACAGCATGGGTCTGAGTCAAGGCCCAGGGGCTAGATCTGGCCTGTGTATGAATTATTGTGGCCCCTGGCCTTAAGAAAACTTCAGAAATGTTCCTTTAATGTTCAGGACATGAATTTTTTTTTTGAAGGAAGTTTGTTTTTGTCTGTGAACCTGTTGAAAAACTGGATTATTCATTCAATCATTATATGGTTAACTGTGTTAGGTCCTGGTGCAATCATTTTAAGTTTTTAATAAACACTGAACCAGTACGGCCCTCGGATTGTTGTAATTTTGTTTTTTTGGCCCTCTGATTGTATTTGACCTCCCTGATATACAGTCATCTATAAATGTAAATATGTTTACAAAATTAAGCTGATCATGACTTTCCGGTTACAAATATGAAATGATCTTTATTTTTCTGGAAATTATTTTTGGGATTTAAAGAAACACAAGAGAAAATAATATTTCCACCTTTGTGAGGAAGTTTTTTGTAACGTTGTTCCCATGAGAATATACCACAATGTGATCTCTGGACTTCTTGGGGTCCATTAAACATTTCTCAAGAAATACAATTCATATGTTAAAACTAATTACATTTTTAATATATATAATTTATCATAAAAAATATTCACAAATGCAATATTTCCACAAACAATATTAAAAGATCAAATGTCATCCTGTTAATTAAAAAATAAAAAAACCTACTGAATACACATGTTTCATAACAATATCTGGGCTAACTTCATAAAACAAGATCATTAAATGTCAGTCACCAACTTCAGAAAGATAATCTAAGGAAGAGGTCAATCAGTTATCAGTTATCAGATATCAGTTTCCATTTTCCATAAACTAAGATAAGATAATCCTCTATTCATGCTACAGAGGGGGAATTTCAATGTCATCGTTGCGCACATTACAGCAGAATTTTTGGAGGAAATAAGAGCACTCAGATTGCACACATCAAACAGGATCTTTTATTTAAGATTATAGATAACAAATATAATAATGAGATAATAAAAACCTCTGGAGCTTTAAATGCACTTGGCTCAAGGATAGTACACTAGTGCAGTATACTGTGGTCAGGAGAAGGTATTTATGACTTATGTATTTATGAATAATAGTAATAATAGCAGTGATTAGTGAATTATCCAAACAGGTGAGTGGCAGTTCTCATTGTACAGTCTGACAGCAGTAAGAAGGACAGACCTGCAGTACCTCTCTTCACTTCTTGTTTGCTACTGTACAACACCTCCTCCACACATGTAGAGTAGATCCGCTCTGTAATAAGTAACAGGCTATACTGACTTGTTGGCAAACCTTTCTTCAGAAATCAGACGAACAAAAAGCATAGCCATAATTTACATGTAACTAGTTCTTTGCTCTCAAAACTGCTTTGTTCTATCACTAGTTTTAACAAGCGTGTGTGTTTGGCCTCAAATCACATCAACAGACCTCACTCTGTATGTAAAAAATAACATATTTTCTAATAAGATAGAGAGAGCATTATAGTGGTCTAAAACAAAAGCAAAACATACACCAGCTTTAAAAGTAAGCATTTTAGCACAAGCAAAGAAATTACATACTCAAGCAATTTATTGTCTAAAATGTTGTTTTGTGCAATAGGGGGATACAGGCCTATTACATTGTCCTATTCTAACCCAAAGCAGAACAAATGGTTAGAGAATAAAGCCTAGTTGTTAATGTATCACCTGTAGTAAAAGGGGTGGGATCATGGACCACAGGACTACATATAGAGGCCCACATGTGCTGCGCTAGTGTGGTCAGAGACATGGGCAAAGGCGTCTTCATCAGCAAAGGCATTGGTGCGCTCCTCATCATCGTGGGGGCCGCCTCTGTCGCCACTATTATCGCCCTGTCCGTTGTTTACGCGCAGGAAAAATCCAAAAACAATGAAGTGTCACCCACCGATGGAGGAAGCACAACCAATCCTCCAGCCACAACACCCACCCCGTCCGACAAGCCGTGGGACCAGTACCGGCTGCCCAAGTCCCTGGTGCCCGATCACTACCACCTGTCGCTGTGGCCTCGACTGACAACAGATGAGATTGGGATGTACATCTTCACAGGTTAATATTAATTTTGGATGCATACATTTTTTTTAACATATACTGTATATAGCAATGGGTCAGATTATAGCACCACATGCCTGCTCCTCAATTTCAATCAGAATTATTGTTTATTAATATTGTAGTTATGTCAAGATTATCCTGTAGAAACATGAATGCTGGAGTACCTGTATTTCCTAATAATCCTAAATGGAATCCATCTAAATAGTTCCTGGCTCTAAAACAATTCGGTTCTATCACATTATGATATGTAATAATTTGGCTTCTCTTACATCTTCAGATCAGATTTTTCAGACCAAAAAGTGAAAAAAGTGAAAAACCCTAAGACAGGCTATCAGGTCTAATCCCAAAGCATCAAATAGTGACTCTCAGGGAATGTATTCAAAAGATAAGTAAGCAAGTAATCTTTATTTATATACACATTTTATAATAAGATGAAGACAGTATGGTGTGGCCTGATTGGTTCACAACATTTTACTTTTACAATAGGCAACTATAGACTTTAAAGATAATAATTTATGAAAAAAATAAAGTTAAGTACCTCAGCTTTAAGAGTGTGAAATTTTTACACGGCTTGTTTGTTCAACCGCTTTTCACTTGGCTAATGGCTAATCCGCTTCTTTTCCATTTGATGTTTTGTGCTTTTCTAGGAGAATCTAGTGTGGTCTTCAAATGTGTAATGGACACAAACTTGATCCTGATTCACTCCAATAAACTTAACTACACAAAGGCTCCGGTTCTGGAGGGGGTCAATGGCACCGCTCCCGATATCAAGATGCACTGGCTGCAGACGGTGACCCAATACCTGGTCATCGAGCTGGACGGTACACTGAAGAAGGACCATTCGTACCGTCTGAGCACAGAGTTCAGGGGAGAGCTGGCTGATGACCTGGGCGGCTTCTACAGGAGCGAATACATGGAAAATGGAATCTCGAAGTTAGTACCTTTTCCTAAAAAAACCATAACACTTTCCTTGTCAATTCTTTTTTAAGTTGGATTACTTATCTTTTTGTTTGTTTCATTAATACATTTTGTTTATCTTGCATTTTGTGAAGAAATCAGACCCCAACATACTATTTTGTGTTGTCAATATTTTACATAAGAGCTGGGCTGGCGCTCTCTTAATCACTGAAAAAACTGATCTAAAGAAGTGATAGGGATAGAACTATATTGTCAGCAAGAAAATAGTACATGGAATATATATACATAACATAGTTGTTTTTATGTTTCAAAGTTAGGTACTGCAGCTTTAATAGCAGAGTCCAAAGTGAGGAATGTATTTTAAATGAAGAAAAGTATAATGCAGTTTGTAACGATGAAATTCATGCCCCCGAATTAATTTTATTGAAATCTATCTTACACTTTATGACTTATAAGTGTATACCAATGCCATTTTGAATAGTCGTTAACATGTATTAATTTGATATATAGAGCAAATATAAATAATATAAATTCTCACTTTAACTGTTTTTAACTTTCTTTTTCAGAATTGTTGCTACGACTCAGATGCAGCCGACGGATGCACGCAAATCCTTCCCATGTTTCGATGAGCCCGCGATGAAGGCGGTCTTCGACATCACTCTCACCCATCCCCCTGGAACTGTGGCGTTATCCAATGGGGAAGAGAAAGGTTTGTTTTCTGTCACCAATAGGAAACCATTAACTGGGGTCAGATCTGGTCAGAGATGGCCCTTGACTCTATTGGTTTTTGTATTTTCCGCAGCTGATTAGAAGTGTCATGTTTTTTTATTCTATCAATTTGCCAAGTACACAGGTTCAACATTCTGTGGGTGTCATGCGATCGATCCCTGTGATATCTCTACATTACTTTGATTTAGTTTATTATTTAATAGAAGGGACAATGCACTGAGACATTGAACTGATAAAGACAGAGATTATGTACAGATCCCTCTTTATAAAGTTTATAAGCCCTCTATCTGCAGTCACTGGTTACAAGAACACACAACAGCATGCAATCAAGAGACCCACCAGGAACAAACCGACCATCTGATGTTATGACGTCATAAATTAAAGTTATTTTACGTACTCTTGACGTTGGGAAAATACATTGGACTCTTGTTGGGTACTGGGTAATTACCAACACAACCAAATAACAGTGTTAGTTGACGTCAATTTAATGTTTAAATGAGACGTTGGAATTTGATGTCGTTCCGATGTTGGATTATGGATCAGTCAGTGTCACTCTTCACTGACCCTAACAATTAATGCCAAAATATGTGTATGTTTATTCTCTTTACAGCCTCTGTAAGCACAACAATAAATGGTGTTAAAGTGATGCAAACGTCCTTCAAACCAACTGAAAAAATGTCCACCTATCTCCTTGCATATATAGTCAGCGACTATGACAATGTCAATACAACCATTGATAATGTTATGGTAAGTATATTGAAGATAAGAATTCCTTTATTCGTCCCACAGTGGGGAAATTTCGATGTTGCATCGCACATATAGGACAGTAGTAAGAGCACACAGGGAGCATATTATATTCATTTATATAAAAAGCGGCCTTTAAAACTACATTATCTCACTGATTATTATATGTAATGTGTCTGTAGATACGCATCTTTGCCAGAAAGTCAGCCATTCTTGCTGGGCAAGGAGACTATGCCTTGAATATTACTGGACCTATTCTCAAGTACTTTGAAGAATACTACAATTCGTCGTATCCTCTGCCCAAGTCCGGTAAGAACTTTGCAGATAGACTTTTATGATGAACTTATCATATAAGGTTCAAATTTCCTTATCATTAAAGTTGTGTTCTTTTCACCTCTTATCAATGTTGGCTGCATCTCTTCTTTGTCAGCATCTTCTGACTTTATTACATATTACATTACGGGACAAATAAACTTTATGACTCAGAACATTACATCAGGTTTACGGAAGCTTGTTAGGTTCACTTGTGAGTGTGTTTTTTTCCGCTGGTATCAATTACATGTTATCATAAATATCATGTTATTTCATGATACCATTTTATCATGACATTTTATGATACCAATTTATCATGTTATTTCATGATACCAGTTTATCATGAAATAACATGATACTGTACATACAGAAGAAGAAGCTGTCAGCTTCTGATAAATTGGTATCACGAAATAACATGATAGTTGTGTATCATGAAATAACATGATATTTATCATGTTATTTCATGAAAGTATCATGAAATAACATGATATTTATCATGTTATTTCATGAAAGTATCATGAAATAACATGATATTTATCATGTTATTTCATGAAAGTATCATGAAATAACATGATACCAGCGAGAAAAAAAAACACTCAATTGAACCTAACAAGCTTCCGTAGGTTTATGTTTGAAACAATATTATCATCTTTCCTTCAGATCAGATTGCTTTGCCTGACTTTAACGCTGGAGCCATGGAGAACTGGGGTCTGATCACATACAGAGAAACTGCGCTGCTCTATGATTCGTCATTCTCATCCAATGGCAACAAAGAACGCATTGCCACCATCATAGCCCACGAATTAGCCCACATGGTTAGCATTGAATTCAACAGTTATTGCCAAAATCAACCTTGCAGTCTGATAAATAACATATCCATCTATATTGGTCATGTATTAAGTATTATGTCTTCTTCTCTGTTTTTTAGTGGTTTGGTAACCTGGTGACTCTGCGGTGGTGGAACGACTTGTGGCTGAATGAGGGTTTTGCATCATATGTTGAGTACCTGGGAGCAGACGCTGTTGAAAAGGATTGGGGCATGGTGAGTTTGACGAGTAAATATGCAGCATCAGATTACTGACAAAGCACCAGTGTTCAACCAGTGATGAATCTTTGCGCAGAAAGACCTGATGGTGCTCAATGACGTTCACCGCGTGTTTGCGATTGATGCCCTGACCTCCTCTCACCCCCTGTCATCCAAAGAGGAGGACATCCAGAAACCAGAGCAGATCAGTGAGCTGTTCGATGCCATCTCATACAGCAAGGTGTCTAAACATAATATTGCCCACTTATCTTTTTCAGTTTTTGTGTATAGGTTATTTCCAATTGTATATACAAAAACAAATAGTAAATAAAAACAGACAAAAAAAGTTGTATTGTATTGAATTGTATTTGTACTTATAATTCAAAACAGCAGTAGGGAAGACTTTACTAAATTGTCAATTCGCCGATTTGAGAATCAAACAATTAGAACACAGGAAATGCACTATCCAAAAAGTCCATAAATGACTTGGATTTTCACTGTCTTTATTCAGCCCCTTCTGCATCAGTGGGGGATTACTACAACAAATATTTGGCCTATACCCATGTTTGCTCACATCATATTTCAAGGATATTTTAAAGATCCCTCACGGTCAATCTGTGTGATATTAGATCATAAGAAATAAAATGAACCCTTTAATTCCTAAAGTAGCAGAACTGCTACATGAGCTCCTGAACCCAGGGTACTTTCTGAATAGTAACCTGGCTTCACACAATTATTTCCTTACATTTTTTTTACATTTTCATTGAATTTTATTTATTATTATGTTGTTTTTTAAACAATGTGTATTATACAATTAAATCAATACACCATTTATCTAGCAGTACCCATTGAAAAAGGTTTCATTCATAGGATCGCAGGCTGCTCAAATAATTAGTAGTATTATAATCAAAGTTTTTTGTCCAATGTTTCAGGGTGCATCTGTGCTGAGAATGCTTGATGGTTTTCTCACAGAAGAAGTGTTCAAAAGTGGACTCCAGGTATAAAGAATATGCATGATGCATATTGTTATATAAACGCATATTTATATACTGTATGTTTATCTTTCTTCACCTCCAGACTTATCTGAAACAATTTGCATTTGGAAACACAGTTTACACTGACCTTTGGATACACCTCCAAGATGTAGGTTTTTATTATTGTTATTGTTTTGCGTAACATTTTCTTTCTTCATTATAAAATGTTCTTGTACAACTCTATGTTCTCCACAGGCTGTTGACAAAAACTCATCCATAACGCTCCCAAATACAGTGGCAGAGATCATGAACACGTGGGTGCTGCAGATGGGCTTTCCTGTGGTTACCATAGATACAGCCACCGGATCGGTATCCCAGAAGCACTTCCTGTTGGACCCAGACTCTGAAGTCACAGTCGTGTCTCCATACAAGTATGTGTTCGAGTAATTCAACTTCTCTATAACATAAAATAAGACTTAAAATAACAAATAAATACATTGATTTTGATTACGTACATGTTGTAAAATTCTATTCTCCAACAACCATTTTGGGAAAGATTCAAAAAAAGAAAAAGAAAACCAAGTGTCCAAATATTTTCATATTTGTTATGAATGGTGTCTGAAAGTTTTCATTGTATTTCTTTATATTAGAAACCTTTTATGAGTGAATAATCAGACCACATTTGATACTGAAGATAGAAATAGATTTTTCAGCTGCCCTCCTTTTTTTTAATCTATGATCTTCCTGAAACATTGTGGTCTCTCAACCTTTTAAATTGTATATGAATAACCTGTGTATATCTTTTCCTTTTTTAAACAAAGGTACCAGTGGACTGTGCCCATTAAATGGATGAAAACTGGAGCTCCACAGCCTGCAAAATGGTTGGTGGATAAGACAGGTCAGATCTCCACCACACATTACTTCAATGCTATGAACTTTTACTTCTCACAACCACATGCAGTGTGCACAGCTCTGTAACTGTGGCCGATTTGGCTGATGGTTCTTTGCAGAAAATGTTGCAGATATGAAAACAACTGAAAGTGAATGGTTACTGGCCAACATCAACGTAGAGGGATACTACAGAGTAAACTACGACCAGAGTAACTGGGACAAGCTCTTGCACGCTCTAAACACCAATCATCAGGTATGTCTTAACTGCATAAATATTATTGTTCATGAATTAATTGAATTTAGCCAATTTAGTTCCTCACTTGTGGCGTAAACATTTTTAGGTTATTCCAGTGATAAACAGAGCCCAGCTGGTGGATGATGCTTTCAACATGGCCAGGTATTAAAATGTGAAAATAAATATGTGTTTCATGTTTCTATTTTATACTTTCATTAGTTTATTTTCTTTTTATAATTGCTTAGCTGTTACTTTGTTATCTATTTATTGTGCTTTTTTATTTTATTTTGTAGAGCCAAGATTGTCTCAACTGAGCTGGCCCTTCGAACCACCACATACTTGACAAAGGAGACTGCTTTCATGCCCTGGGAGTCAGCCCTGGACAATATGGACTTCTTCTATCTAATGTTTGACAGAAGTGAAGTGTATGGCCTTATTCAGGTGAGCTGCTGGTTATAAACAAGTAACACATTTATATTTTCACCTTCGTTTTAAATAAAGTTTCCCTCACGCAATGTGCTTGATTACTGTTTTTGTAGGCCTATCTGCAGAAACAGGTCTTGAATTTGTATGGGTTTTACAAGGAAAGTACAGGCAACTGGACTACAATCCCCAAAGGTCACTTGGATCAGTGAGTAAAAGACGTTTTGTGTGACTATGGTTTGAGAAATGCGCTATATAAATAAAGATGACTAATGATCCTACATAATTAAAAAGACAGTATGTAGTATGCACTCGTGGTCATTATACAATCCATCTTCCTGTCTGTGACGACTGTGTCATCTTAGGCTGTGTATTAGAAGTGGACTGGCGAGGGCTGACGTCACCATAGGGTTTCCCGAATGCGGAAGAAGCCGTTTTGAACATTAGCTAGCTAGAGCCAATTTCCTTATAAGGGCACATGTTCCGAGGGCATTAGCTTAGCTCCGTAACATGGGCGGACGTGTTTCTAAGATGGAATCTTAGAAACACTTTGTCCATGAGCACTTCCCTTTTGGGCTCCCATGAGCTACTGTTCATCTACAGTTTTGGCTACACACTGATTACTGAAGAAATTTACTGCTGGGATTTTTATAAACAAAAAAAAGGTGCAACATCTGTATATTATGTTTGAATCCTTATGCTTTCAAACAAATGTGTGGTGCTATTTTATTTGTTAATTAATTTAAAATGCATATTTTTGATTTTTTTTGATTTGCACTTTCTGAATGGATAATCTACTTGAAAATTAAAAACATAAATATTATGTTCATAAGAAAATACCTCCACTGTTGTTCAGAAATGGTCAATTAGGATGTTCACATGCCCAAAGGACACGTATAAAAGACGACATAAAATTTAAACTTTAAAGTAATGCATCATATTTATGGTGCATAGCAGGAAGATGAAAGTCAGTTATTTTTTGTTTGTTCATAAAAAGAGTATGGAATGTAAAAGGACTTTCCTTTTGTTTCAGGTACAATCAAGTGAACGCCATCAGTTTAGCGTGTAAAACCGGCCTCAAGGAATGCACAGATTTGGTCACAGGCTGGTTCAAGCAGTGGATGGAGAACCCAAAAGGAAACAACACGTGAGTATTTCACACTATTTATTTTTTGTTTTATTTTTGTCTCTTGTAGACCATAATTCACTCTTTACACATAGAATCGCACCAAACCTGCGATCCACCGTGTACTGCAATGCTATTGCAGCAGGGGGCGCTGCAGAGTGGGATTTTGCTTGGGCACAGTTCAAGAAGGCCAATGCCATTGAAGCTGACAAACTGCGATCTGCACTGGCCTGCACCAAGCAACCATGGCTGCTCAACAGGTGGGAAAATCACATTTACACATTAAATAACATGTTTCTTTTCATGTTTAATCATTAAACATGTCATTATGTCATAGTCCAGAGGTCTCCAACTTTCAAACCAGACACGACAGAGAACTACTCATTTTTGCAGTCATATTACAATTTTACAGTAGTCTTAAACTGCGGCAGATTATGGACAACATAAATATGCATAACCTGACATTAGTGAAAAGATTAAAAACAATTTTAGTTTGTTAAATTGTTTTAATTTAGGATTATGGGTTTAAATTCCTGAATCCTTTGAGAAGATACCTTGGAGAGATGGTGAGCTACTGGTAGCTCCTGAGCTGCAGCTTGAAGACCAGACATATTGCTTCTCTTTATGAACACTTAAAGCTAGAGTTAGTCACTTTTATATCCCAACAGAAAGAGTCAAGTTTAAGTTACATTTTGTGAACAAATGAAACCACAACATGCTGGCTTTCTCTTATGAGAAAACACTTGATATTGTACATACTAAGTGCTGATTGGCTGAGAGAGGCTGGTACTCTCTTGAAAAAACTGATCTAAAAAGGTGGCCATAAATACATGCACGGGAAAACTAATGAAAGATCTGTTTGGAGATCGAGGAGCTAGTTACATGGACTTTATTACGTGGTTAATTCTTTGTTGTTTCAAAGTCATACACTACAGCTTTATTTGGCCAATACCAGGGGTTGTCAAATACGTGTGAAGATTTTTACAATATTATATTGTATCACCTCACCGACAGTGGCTCAGTAGGTACAGCATTGGCCTTTGAGCCTGAGGGTTGTGGGTTCAAGCCTGTTGATGTCTGTTGTCAATGTGCTTGGGCAACACACGTAACCCCGCTTCGCCAGAAGCCTCCACTGAAAGGTCAAGGCTATACTGTCATGACAGAGCAGCCATCTTCCTGTGGACTCACCACCTGCAGGAGGATCAGTGCGGGGCTAGTGCTCTGTGAACTGGGTGCAGCTGATGACCACCCCCCTCACACCCCCAGCAGTGGACCTCACACCCCCCCACCACTGTCTCACGTCCCCCTTGTGGATGCAGCCGCTCATTGAGCACCACTGGCTAAATGTTGATACTTTGATCTAGAAATCATATGCAGTATGTGGTTCTCGTCAGACACATTGATGAAAATAGATATTAATATTTTTGATATGAAGAGGGTTTTTGAAAGTAGACATTTCTAAAATGTACTATTATTACAGATACCTGGAATACACACTGAATTCGACGATGATCCGCAAACAGGATGCTACCTCCACAATCGTCTACATCGCCAACAACGTGGTGGGACAGTCTCTGGCCTGGGACTTTATCAGAGCCCACTGGACATACATCTTCACTGAGTGAGTGGTACAAACAAATTAGGATTCTTATATTGTACAGAATGGAATAAAGGAGACAGATCATTACAAGGCTTTATGGTGGAAAATGTCATGTTTTCCCGAGTCACTGAAGCACCATAAACCATCACAAACACTATCACACGGCAGCTTTACGGGAGGTGTGCGTTTATGAGAGCAATGATCACAAGTCAGGGAGAAGTCAGCCACACCTCCCCGTTAGCTGAACTTTCTTTAAACATACTGTACACACAGTATCGATACGTAGAATGTTGTTTTCACACTTGGATATTTCAAATGGTCTTTGTTTTGTTTTAGACTTCAGGTCATCTTCCAATATGACAGTGTGTAAAGATTTAAATATCTCTGAGGTTAAATCATGACCATCTCACAATATTTGTTGCTACTTCTCTAAAACTGTACAGCCCATCATCTGCTTTTATAGAGACTTTGAATGTTTTTTCACCTGTCGTGCAAAGTTACAAGCACTTTGATAAGCATAGATTTGAAACACTGGAACAAGTCAAGTGGTTTTAAACTGTTTACTTTGTTCGTCTTAAGGTATGGTGGAGGCTCCTTCTCCTTTTCCAACCTCATCAATGGAGTCACAAAACGCTTCTCTTCTGAGTTTGAGCTTAAACAGGTCAGTTTGTTTTTCTCACATTGCTAATACATAGAGTTACAGTTTTTGCCATTTTTCACAAACAATAACTCCAACTTAGTATCTTAATTGTTTAAGTTTTTGACAAACAATTGGGAAGTTATAACACAACAAAACTGCAGTTTTAACTTTCCAGCTCATTGGTAGAAATCCTAATAGGTAAATATAATGTCTCTGTGACCCACATATGTCAAACACTAAACTGATTTTGAATTATTATGATTATTGTGCAGAACTGTTGGTTATATGTTGATATGGCTTTCATGGCATGTTTTGGCTTTTTAAAACAAATTCTATCAACAACCATGTAATTTAATTTATTGTAAAACCCAACTCTCCACAAAGAAAACTACTTAGTTTAATTTTTTTATTCAGCCTCCGACCTGAAAATAAACCACATGACAAATTATACAGATTTTACAATACAATACAATATTTTGGAATACTTTTAGAAATTATGACCACATATGTGTAGAACATGGGTGTCAAAGTCAAGGCCCGCGGGTGGTATAATTCATTTAATGTTCAGGAGATGTGTTTTTTCTTTGAAGGAAGTTTGTTTTTCGTCTATGAGCCAGTTGAATTGATTGATTGAAAATTATTTATTGCCCTCTGATGTTTGACTTTAACATCCCTAGTGTAGAATCATTATGCCTAAATGATTGTTTTGTGCTTGACAGCTAAGACAGTTCAAAGAGGAGCACGCAGAGACAGGCTTCGGCTCCGGGACTCTGGCCGTGGACCAGTCCATCGAGAGGACCATCAGTAACATGAAGTGGCTTGCAGAAAACAAAGATATTGTCTCCAAATGGCTTGAAGAAAATGTAAAACCTAAACCATAACTAAATACTCTTGATACTATCCAATTTTATGGGTAATGATGTAAAACTATTCAACGCAGAGCCTGAGAGATGATATTCTCATTTACAAACTTCAGCAAAAGTAAATACTTATATGTATTTATTTTTTAATTATAAACACTAACATTGTCAATGAGATGAATCACACCTGATGTTATTTATCACGCAATTCACTTTATTAAGTGAATTGCAATTACTTAACTGCTGATGGCTGTAGAGAGTTGTTCCATAAAGATTGTATTGTATTTTGAAATAAAAACTTTTGTATTATTCACTATTATTTGTCATGCTTTTTTGATTGGTGCGTTAGCTGGTATTTCTAATAGGCTTTTAATTTGATGTTTTGGTCCCAGAAGTGGAGCTGGACATATGATGCACCTTACACATTTCAACTAGATAAAGAAAACTCATACAGGTTATTTGAAATAAGTTGTAGCAGGCCTGATCCCCGTCGAGGCATGTAAGTTGACATTCCTTGTCATAGATTAGTCGACTAAAAAGAGGCATGATAAGAGCTTTCAATTTCTTGAAACCTTGCCTTGTAATTGGTTATGTCTCTTCGAGGGTTTCTAGTGATTTATATTTTGAATTAAAATAAATCAATCCATAAATAATAAGAGCTTTCAAAACTGGCCTCTTCAATATAATGCAAGATTACTAAAAGTATTTACTCAAGCATAAATCACTTGAATATTTAGCAAAATGCACAAATTCAACTTCTTATCTCGAGGTTTGAATAAACATGATTTTGAGGTTTCAATATCAGTCAACACCACTCCACCTGTTTGCAGTTTCTCTAAGTCAGTGTCTCCCAAAGTGGGGTCCGCGGCCCCCTGGTGGGCCGCGAGGGTACTGCAGGGGGGCCGCGGGAGGTCATAAAAAAAAAATATATATATATAATTATTTAATGTTAAATTTATAATGTTTTGTTTGTAATATTAAAATATTTGTGTTCATTATTTGACTTGAATAATCCACTGTAATCATTTTTGTATTACAATGTTTGTAGCAGAGGCTATTTCCCCAAAATAAAATAACCAGAAGAGCCTATTCTTAATGTTGTCTTCTTGGTTATTATTTTGGGGGGCCACGCAGACCCGTTAGATTTTTAAGGGGGCCTCGGTGTTACTGAGTTTGGGAATGGCTGCTCTAAGTAAATCCTTGTAAATTAACTGGATTTCTGGACACTGAGCTTGACAGGCCCACTTCCCAGGCGTTCGGCTGGTTTTATATGTAGGCTACACTCCAGAATAATTTATCACTCTTATCTCCCTTCAGCGTTTATCAACACATGTAGCTGTGCGCTGGGAGGCTGGGACACTATCAGCCTGGGAACCCCCTGTCCCGTGGACGCGCTGTGCGCACTCACATAACTGTAACAGTTTGTAGCAGTTCGGGCTTCACTTCAGCAGCAGACAGAGACATGGGCAAATGCTGCCGGGTCAGTAAACTGTGTGTGCTGTGTGTGCTGCTGGCCACGGCCTCGGTGGCGACCATTGTCACGTTATGGACTATCGCGCTGGTGGGAGACGGGGAAGTGACCACTGCGCCATGGGACAGGTAGGGACAAAAACACAAGGACTTTAAACTAGAGCAACAATCTGACTCGACTTAGGCCTCGGCTGCTTTTTTAACACGTGTACTTTAGTGCTCTTTGACCATAGACTTGAGGATTTACGTCATTGTAATAAAACTTGATTATTATGGAAGGTTTGCGCAATACAATAGATATTGTCTTTTATTGCTAGGAAAAAAGAAAAATAAGCATGTTTCTAATTGAATATAGGTATTGGTAATAATTAATGTTTGAAAAAAGACAATGTGGTATTTTTTTAAAACAAAAAAAAAGAATGAAAACTACAAACAACAATGTTCAGTTTTACAGTAGTGAGGACCTCCGGTCGCCCAACCCGGGGTACAGCACAAAGAGGGGGAAAGCTATAAGAAATAGTAAGGAGTGTGTTAATTAAATGTAAGACAGGATTATTTTTTTAAAGATTCATGCAAAAGATACAACAGGTGCGGATTGACTCAACAAAATAAAGTCTTTGGCAGTGATTCACTGACCACTGGAATCTTATCTCTTCATGACACAGAGTTGTGAAATTATCAGTAATAACATCCAATGACATACTTTTTATTGCAATTGCACATTAAAAAACACTAAATACATTTGATTTGTGGCTCTCAGATACCGTCTGCCTACAGCTCTGATCCCACTCTCCTACACTGTGACCCTGTGGCCCCGCCTCAGCCCTGGTCCAGACGACCTCTACATCTTCACAGGTCTGCTCCTGCTGCTGTCCACTGTCTCTAAAATCAGAAATATATTTAAACGTAGAGCATGTTGGACAATAAAGTGGTTCTTTTTTGTTGTTCTAGGGGAGTCAGAAGTGGAGTTTCAGTGCGTGGCTGACACGGACCTCATCCTGATTCACTCCAATAAACTCCAGTTTGTGCTCCAGGAAGGTCACATGGTCCGACTTACAGCAGCAGCAGGTTCTGTTACAAAACCTTACTCACTGCTGAAATACTTCTAACTCTGCTTTTACTATTCCACTGTGACTTTTATACAGTCTAGAAACAATAATATTACTGTATCACAATGAGGCCCTCGATTGGACACCCGGCTGGCAAAGTCTGGTGTCTGCTCGAGTTTCCTCCAGGTGCTCCGGTTTCCTCTGCCACAGAAAACATGCTAATGGGGTCCTTCCTTTTAATTTCAGTGGGACAATCATGATAAAATAAAGGGTAGTATGAATATGAACATAAGCCCAGTTGAGCATTAAGAAGTCAAAACAAACAGGTGTCTTATCTTGTGTTTTGCTGACTGTCTGCAGCCGACTCTTTCGATTTCTTATATCAACCTTCTTACCCTCCACTTCCCACCCGTATCATTCCTAACGTCACTGGAAGCATAACATTGGCCTAGGTGGCTTGTAAAACATATTAAAATGTGTTGTTTGTATGTTGGCCGAACCTTGCATTCAATTTTGTGAAATTGAATGCAATTCCTGGAAATTACAAGCCATGGTTGAGTGCAATAAATCCAATCCAATCCACTTTATTTATATAGTGCATTTCATAAACACAGTTTCCAAAGTGCTGCACAATAAAAATGAAAACATAGTAAAACAGTAAAATACAAAATCAAATATGAAAAACCGTGTGTGCAAATATGTATGAATATAAAAATAACAATAAAAAGATTAAATAAAATGAAAATAAAAGGACCATACAACTCACGCAGTGTTAAAAGCCAGAGCATAAAAATGGGTCTTAAGACGAGACTTAAAACACTCCACAGAAGGGGCAGTTTGAATGTGGGGGGGCAGAGCGTTCCACAGCTTTGGTCCAGCCACAGAGAAGGCCCTGTCCCCCAGGGTTTTAAGTCTCGTCCTAGGTACCACAAGCTGGAGCTGACCCTCGGACCTCAGCGCGCGGGGCGGATGGTGAATTTGGATGAGGTCCAAGATGTAACGAGGGACCAGTCCATTCAAAGCTTTAAAAACAAACAATAAAATCTTAAAATTGATTCTAAAATGAACCGGAAGCCAGTGCAACGATACCAGAATTGGTGTAATGTGATCGCGCCTTCTGCTTCCTGTTAAAAGTCGTGCCGCTGAGTTTTGGACCAACTGCAGACGGGAAAGTGCGTTTTGGGGGATGCCCGCATAAAGTGCATTGCAATAGTCCAGGTGTGACGAAATAAAAGCGTGCATGACCTGCTCAAAAAGATTAAAAGATAAAAAAGGTTTAACCTTAGATAAAAGTCGCAAATGATAAAAGCTTGATTTAAAAACGCGATTAATCTGTCTATCAAATTTAAAATCACTGTCCAAGATGACGCCAAGGTTGGTGACTGTGGGGCGCACATGGTCCTTTAAGGGCCCCAAGTCAATGAGGGGGGCGCTGGGGCCAAACAAAATAACCTCCGTCTTACTTTCATTTATTTTCAGAAAGTTCTGGGCCAACCAATCCTTAACGTCACTTAGACAGTTGAGTAGGGGTGTCAGGGGGCTGTGATCATCTTTCTTCAATGACATGTAAATCTGACAATCATCAGCATAAAAGTGACAAAGACACGGCATGTTTTTTAAAAATATCACTGAGTGGGAGGAGGTACAGGGCAAAAAGCAAAGGGCCAAGAATTGAGCCCTGGGGAACTCCACAGTGCAAAGGGGCAGAGGTGGAGGTGGAGTCCCCCAGCCTGACAGTGAAGGACCGCCCTGACAGGTAAGACCTAAACCAGTCCAGGGAGGTCCCCCTGACACCCACACATAAACAAATTGTGACAATAAAGACACATATTTATTGTTAAAAAAAAAAAAAATTCCCACCCGCTTAACTCTAGACGTGTTGATTGTAAAGGAAATATGTTTGAACTTTAGAACAGCGATAAACAGAGAAAACAGTACGATCCACTGCACGGGCTTCTCCCTCTGTGACTGAGGCATTTATGTCACACAAGGAAGGCCTCACAGCGCTCCGCTCTGTCAAAGAGATAAATATGATGAAAATCTGCATGCAGTCATATGAAATAAGGTAAACATACAATGAAATGATGCAAAAGCATAAATCACTTGGTAAATAGTGACCAAGTATTATTGTTTTTTCTGTTGTGAGTCTGATTCCTGCTCTCACCAGCCTGACCAACCAGACCCAAACAATTTAACAATACGCAATAATGATGATAATAATAATAATATTTAAAATTTCCATGTGTAAGAAAGTAGATAGTCTGGCTGGTCAGACAAATGCTCTCACCATTTACTTCCTGTTTTAGGGGCCGAGCCTGCTCCCAGAATCAAATCCACCTGGTTCCAGCCTGTGACGCAGTATATGGTCATTCAACTGAAGGGGAAGTTAAAAGCCGGCCTCTCGTATCTGCTTTTCAGTTCCTTTAGTGGAGAACTGGCCGATGATCTTGCTGGATTTTACAGGAGCGAATATGAAGAGGATGGTCTTAAAAAGTAAGATTATTTCAATTTGTGAATACTGTTGCTAGAACCACACTTAAACACATCTAATAAAAGCTCTACCTTTCTGTTCCAGGGTTGTTGCCACATCTCAGATGCATCCAACCCATGCCAGAAAGACCTTCCCATGTTTCGATGAGCCCTCTCTAAAGGCGGTTTTCAACATCACTCTAATCCATCCTCCAGGAACAGTAGCCCTGTCCAATGGAATGGAGATTGGTCAGTCTCAATACACAATTTTACAATGTTATTACAACAGTCAAAAGCAGAGTTTCTGCTATGTGGAAAATACAATAAAAAGTGTAGTTTGGTATTTAAATAAATTTGAAATGTTTTGATAATTTTTTGGTTTCTAAAACTGATGCATATTATTCACCAGATAGCTACAGGTATTTAGTATCCTTTTTTTTAATCTATAGCATGTAAAAAGAGGAAAAAGAGTGGGTGAAGTGTCTTGCCCAAGGATACATTGCAACAATCAGCTATGAGATCTGGTCTCACACCTGCCACCCTTTGAGACAGTCAAACAGACTGCTCAACATATGTTTATGTCAAAAGCAGGATTCGATCCACCAACCTTTAGGATTCATGCTTTACCAACTGAGCAACTTACGCTAACAGGCTGTGTTCATGTGACATCATAACATTCTAAAGAGCCTATGTGGAGGGTATCCGAACAATCTATTTTTACCAGAAATCTGTAATGCAACAGATAAGAGTGGAGTCCTGAAACTTTATATGAGATAAATGACTTTAAAAATCAATAAAGAAAAAAGAAACAGATTTTTGGAAGGGCAGGTAACTGTATAGAAAATGTCCTGGAAAAAGTCCTCTTTGGTCTGTGACATTTGAAAGGATACTATGCAGCATTCATAGTAAAATGGCAACCTTTTTGTTGTTGTTGATAAAAAACGTACACAATAGATGGCATGCAACTAACATGTGTATAACAATATCATACACATAAGAATAACACAGTGTGGGTTTTATCTGATCCGGGTAAACATTGTTACAAAAATGGCTTCTTTCCCATAGAGTTGCGGTAGCATTTGCCCCGAGATAGATTCATAATAAACAATATTCAATAAAACCATGAGTTATTAGTTTTCCATATCCATATCCATTTGCTCTTTCAGATGTGGTCAACACAACCAAAGACGGAGTCGCAGTAACACAAACCAGATTCGAAGCCACCAAGAAAATGTCCTCATACTTACTGGTGGTTATCGTCTGTGACTTCACTTTTATTAGTGCAAAACAGCAAGACACTCTGGTAACGCTGACACTGCATTATGTTGGAGTTGTAAAAAATATTGTGACTTTTGAACAAATGCAAACGTTTTTATTTGTTGTTTGTTTTGAGATACGGATCTGGGCTCGAAGGAAGGCCATTGAGTCTCATCAGGGAGACTACGCTCTCAAAGTGACGGGACCCATTCTCGACTTCTTCCAACGTTATTATAATATCTCTTACCCGTTAAACAAAACAGGTGAGATCATCGATTTGTCAGCGGACCCAGCACGCTCATCAGGAGGCTCTTTTTGTGTTTGATAGATCAGATCGCGTTGCCAGACTTTTACTTTGGAGCTATGGAAAACTGGGGCTTGGTGACGTACAGAGAAAGCAACCTGCTTTATGATCCCCTGGGCTCCTCCAATAGAAACAAAGAAACCACAGTGACCATCATCGCACATGAGCTTGCACATATGGTTAGTGTGGCCATATTGTTCTTTATTATTGTGGCTTCTAGAGCAGTTGGTAGATAGAGAGTGAATACACTGCAAAAAATGTGAGGTAACAATTGCTTGAATCGAGTGGTTTTTTGAGAACATTCTTAAAACAAGATTTGCCAAAAGGAAAAAGCCATTCAGTCTTATTTCAAGAATTGTTGCTTTATTTTCTCATTTCAGGGGAGATATTTCTTCTATTTTATTAAAACAAGATTATTTTGCTAGTCCCTTTGGCAAATCTTGTTTCTAGGCAGTCCAAATGTGCTTAAATTAAGATACATTTTGCCAAGTTTGAGCAATTTTGGATACATTTTTTCACTTTTTGCAGTGCAGGATTATACACTGCAGAATTCAGTTACTATAGTTTACTAGTTCCTCACTCTCAAAACAGTTTGGTTATTTCACTAGTTTTCACATACATGTATTTTTGGCCTCTGTCACAAGCTCTCAGTCCAAAGTGTCTAAAGCGAATCACAGGGCTCAAAAGATGACATGTTTTGTAGAAAGATGAAGACAGCTTGTTGTTGTGTGCTCTGCTCACAATGTTTCACTCTCATGAGATTTTATGTATAGGGACAAACAACATAGAAACAAGTTAGGTACCCCAGCTTTAAAAAATGTTTGGTTAGTAAACTAAACAGAGTTTGATACCACAGTGATACTTTAAACAAACTTTTCTCACTATAAATGAACCAAATAATACTACTTTTTACTCTACCAAAAGTAATATACCAAAGAAATCATCCTAACCATTCTAAAGAAAATGTCTTGTTTGTCTTGAAACGTGATGGCTATTCAATAAATGCAAAATATATTTTAGAATTGATGAATATCTTCTCCTTGATACTTTTGACCCTTGACTGAACATGATTGTAAGAAAATCCCATAGTAGCAAGTTTTTTGACTGGATCCAAACTCTTGTGGTTTTCAGTGGTTTGGAAATCTGGTCACATTGAAGTGGTGGAACGAAGTATGGCTGAATGAAGGCTTTGCGTCCTATGTGTCCTACCTGGGAGCTGATGACGCAGAACCCGACTGGGATGTGGTGAGGCCAAACGTTTTATTGGCTTCCCCTGAAATTCTTTGAAAGTTAAAGTCATTTACAAATATCTGTTTTGGGGTTTATTCTTCCCTAGAAAGACCTTATTGTGCTGGACGACATTCACAGAGTGTTTGCTGTTGATGCGTTGACGTCGTCTCACCCTCTGTCCTCCGACGAAGACGACATTTTAAAACCAGAGCAGATCAGTGAACAATTTGATGCCATCTCATACAGTAAGGTAATTGTATGGTTGCTTTACACTCTCGGTCAGGGGTGCCCAAACCTTTGAGATAGAGGGCCACTTTAGTCGCCCATACTGTTCCAGGGGTCAACAACACGGATTATAAAACTGATATTATGACTTAATTTGGGGTGTTGCAATTTTGTGACGCAATCAAAAACAGATGTCAGTATTTGTAGATTAAGATTAAGATGAAAAGATCCTCTTTTCCACGGCGAACACAGCACAAATGTCACAAATGACAGAACAGTCGAAATCAGGAGCATAATACACAAGATAAGTGAATACTATACGTATAGCACAACTCTATACTTTAACTGTACGATGCTGTGAAGGTTCTGGGCTTCACAGTGAGGTAATACATGGCTATAATAGTGGAGATTAAGTTGGCTGGATGAAACAACGTTCCTCGAAAGCAGAGGGCCACATGCTATGCTTCCAAGAATTTTGTTATATAATAATATATAGTCAATTATCCCTTATGTTTCTTGTGTTTGTGATGAAAGCAATAAACCAAAATTATAGTTTTTATAGTTTTTGATTTCCCATTTTTGATCCTATCCCCAGTCTCTTCCCAGGTCCTATTGAACTGCACTGATGTATAACAATGGACATTTTTCCTAGGGAGCATCTGTGCTGAGGATGCTGTCAGACTTTCTCTCTGAACCAGTCTTTGTCCAGGGGCTAAGTGTAAAATCTTTTATACCATAATTAAAAAAACACAAACACACACACACACACACACACACACACACACACACACACACACACACACACACACACACACACACACACACGCACACACAATCAAGTGGCGATAGTATGCATAATTGATCCTTCTTTTATTGTCTTTTGTAGACCTATCTTACAGCCTTCTCTTATAGCAACACGGTTGGTTCAGATCTTTGGCAGCATCTAAACATGGTAATAAACTCTCAGATAGTACAATGAGTAAAAGACACACGCAACCATATAAAGCTGTCTTTTGTTGTGAACAGGCAGTGAAAAACAGTAACATGTCTCTGCCACATCACGTCGGGGAGATCATGAACACTTGGGTTCTGCAGATGGGCTTTCCGGTGGTCACCATAGATACAGCCACTGGAAACGTAACTCAGGAGCACTTCTTACTGGATCCTGAGTCTAACGTCACAGTCAAGTCTCCGTACAAGTATTGACTTATAAACAGGCCATATACAGTATACTCCCTGTTACTAATACGTTTTTATTGTTCAGCTACAAATGGTTGATTCCTGTGCGTTGGATGAAAACCGGTTTCCCCCAGAGCAATGTGTGGTGGCTCAGTAAAAAGACTGGTATTGTTTTTATTTGTTTAAAAAAATCATTTGAGTTGAGTGGTTGTGTCAAATAACAAAAGAGATAACAAGTATAAGATAAAGTAACTTATTATGCTGTACATTTTACAGTTTTATTACTGTAAAATACAGTGAAAAACATAATCTTTCAATTATGGATTTATTAATTTACATTTCTATATTTATAACATGATAAAACAGGTTAACAAAATATGCTGTTTGGGAATGTAAAAAACAGTGTTTTTATTGTGGATCTTCAGAAGTGAACTTGGACATGAGAAGTGGAGGGGCCTGGGTTCTGGCAAACATCAACGTGAGTGGTTATTATCGTGTGAACTATGATCTGGGGAACTGGGAACGCCTCCTGGTTCAGCTCAATGCCGAACACAAGGTAACTTGACCTGAACTTCATCATCAATGCTCCCTGTGGTATTAGCTTCTCCTGACTTTTGCAGGTAATTCCGCTGATAAACAGAGCCCAGATTATAGATGATGTTTTCAACCTGGCAAGGTGTGTAGGAAACTTTTATGTACAAGTTACAGATATTTTAGCCTTGAGTTGTTTATCTTTTGTGTTTACATGCAGGGCCAGACTCGTGTCCACACCCCTGGCTCTGAGGACCACTCTCTTCCTGTCTGCAGAGACTGAATACATGCCGTGGCAGTCTGCACTGGACAACATGCATTATTACTATCTCATGTTGGACCGCACTGAGGTCTACCAACCTCTGCAGGTACCGCTCTAAAGAGCTGCTCCACAGTATGTCATTTTAGGGATGGTGAAGACGTGGGGAATGTTTTGGTTTTAAACTGGTCCTAAATGTGTTTCTAGGATTACATGAAAAAGCTGGTGACACCCCTCTTTTTACATTTTAAAAACATCACCTCGGAGTGGACAGATGATGCAGGCAGACACACAGACCAGTGAGTGCACACAGTAGGCTACACACATGCATTTTGGAGAGACCCATGGGGTTATCCAGATGTTTGTGTATACAGATACAACCAGGTGAATGCCATTCGTATGGCCTGTCAGACAGGAGTAACAGAGTGCCAGAACTTGACCTCATTGTGGTTCACACAGTGGATGGACAGCCCTCACAACAACTTGTAGGTTTTTACATCACATTTGGACATGGAATGACATACATGATGCTGAAAGTTATTCTTTTTGCAGAATTCCCTCGAACCTGCGCTCAGTGGTGTACTGCAGCGCTATAGCAGCTGGGGGAGAACGAGAGTGGGACTTTTGCTGGTCCCAGTTTAAGAGTGCTGCTGTGGCCAGTGAGGCCAGTAAACTCATGTCTGCTTTGGCCTGTGCCACTAAACCTGAGCTGCTGCTGAGGTGAGTTACTCTGAGCTTACAGCAGAGGGCGGTATGGAGCTATCTATCTCAAACTGATCCTGTTGCAGGTATCTGTCTTTTACTTTAAACTCGTCCATGATTCGCAAACAGGATGCCTCATCAGTGATCACTGCTGTGGCCAGTAATCGAGTGGGACAAAACCTGGCATGGGACTTTGTCAGAGAGCAATGGGAATACATTTTCACAGAGTGAGCCCTGCACTTTCCACTCACGGACTGTAATAATGTCCACGTTTGATCATTTACCATTGAATGCTGTGTCCTTGATGTAACTTTGTGTTGGGTGTCTGCAGTTATGGAGTGGGATCTTTTGCTTTTGCTTCAATAATCAGCGGTGTCACAGCACGCTTTTCTGTACCAACTGAGCTACAGCAGGTGAGTTCACACTAAAGTAGGAAAAACACAGGACGTTATTTCAACATGGAACATTTACTCTGCAGCTGAAAGACTTTGTGAAAGAGCACGAGCACTTGGGTTTTGGCTCAGCCACTTTGGCTGTGGAGCAGGCGCTGGAGCGGACCCAGGCCAACATCAAGTGGTTACAGCAGAACCAGCAGGAGGTGTTGGACTGGTTCATAGGACAGACGAGGCCTCATATGTAATCTATTTATAATGACACAGGCTGTGTTTTTCCCCTACTGTTTAGTTAAAATGTTATACACAACCTGTTAATTTGCATGTAAATGTGTGAGTACATTTTATTCCATTAAAACGAATATATAATTTTAGAAGATTTCCAATTTAGTTGGATACACGTTGACAACAATGAATCATAATACATATGAAGTTTGATTATCTTCAGAAATAGATCCAACACGATGCATTGTTAAACCATTTATTGTTTTGGTTTTAACAGCAATAAATACAGTAAACAAACAGAAACAGAAGCACTCAACTCGTCACTCATCAACAACAATAAGACAGTGGCTCAAATTACAATACATTATTCGAACAAGACCAATATATGGCTTTTCCTTTCACAGCAATAGCGATGTCATACACATATGGTCTGAAGAAACAGAGACACAGTTGTGCAGCACTTGTTACAGCAATAGTAATGTAGCAATGTACATGTATACCACTACATACCCAGGCTTGTCCAGTCCTAATAGAAATGACGCTTCCGGATACACTAGACTAAAAGCCAGTTGCAAACCAAGGCAAGATTTACATGATTCAGAGAAGGGCACTATCTTAATTGCAAGACCCAGACTATTCTAATTATTAAAGTCAAAACACCTTTAGTACATAATTTATACATTATTTTGAAAGTGCACAACAAACAAATGATTGTTTTTGTTTATTTTCTCACGGAAAAACCTAGTTTGAGAGAAGGAAAAGTCAACATAATATTAATGACGTTACTGGCTGCACAAAACACTAGATATGCTTCGAAACTTTTAGTTAAGCAAAAATAAATAATAATAATCTAAAAATCACAGTGTAAGTGTCTTCAGGCTAGTTTAAAACTATGGCTAATTAACATGGCTTTTGCAAGAATACATTGAAGTACTTTTCCTTATCTTCAGCTGGGTCTTTCTGTTGGGCTGTGACCCCACCGAGGTTTTATTTTACGTTGTGTCACAAATGTAAAACATAATATATCTATATTAGTGGAGTGTAATTTTTCCTCCAAAACTAAAGGGACACATTGAATTGGAACAGACGTTATTGCCTTTTTTTCTTGTTGATACATAACATAGCTTGTACATACATTTTGAGTGGTATATCATTGATTCTCTTACAAGCAGTTGGTAGAAAAGAACTATACAGTGAAGACAAGCAATATTGTTTGGTCAAAGCCAACATGAGCAGACTGCAGCGACACTACTGTTCTCTGTGGAAGACGTTTGACTACACAGGCCCAGCACAACCCAATCTAAAGACCCTCAGACATACGACGCAGTAAAAGCAAAAATAACATGCAGCCACTCGCACCACAAGACTCTGGATCAACAGGGATTGTTCACTCAACAAACTGTACAAGATACAAGGTTCAGGCTGAACACGACGTGCAGAAGTCTGAAGCTGTGATTATCAGTGATGAAATTAAATGAAATACAGTAGACATGAAGCAGACCAAAATAACGAGATATTTGAGTGTTGTTGGAAGTAATGCAAGTGCCCCAGTTTTATGCTTACAAGCCTTGAAAAATAAAATCCCTATTCGCAGAAGTTGCAGCGGGCTGAAGTATTGATTCTTGTAAATTAGCAAATTAGGTCGCTGTCATTGTATTTTTCAACAAGAGAAAGCCTCGGCAGGTGTATTGCAAGCCGGATCTTATGTTTAATTCAACCTTAATGTTTATGGTTATGAGCCTCATGAGACCAGGGTGTAAGTTAAGCACTCTCACAGCATTACCCAAGATGCTACTTCGAGATGGAACAGAGAGAGACTACAGTAAAAAATTATAATGTATTATGCTTCATGTGACAGTTGAAAAGGGCATATATCTATGTTCTTTGCTCGGTTTTGATTTATCAGCTAAATATACAGAATGTAATATAGGTAATGGAATTCCCTAGTGATCATTGAAATGTGACAAAGTGAACCTTTTGCAATTAGATAAATCAATAAATGTTTAGTCATGGTAAAAAATGTGCCCTTACCACAACAGTAAAACTCTGATATGTAAAAAACAAAACCAAAAAAACAGTTGCATCATGTGATAGAACAGAAAATCTCTCTCGTATTGACCGCACTCAAACTTAACATTAACATTGAGACGTCATAAGAAGCAGGTGACAAGTGTTTGGCATTGTACACGGAGCACGTACTTCTCGCTCACAAAAGGATTTTCTCTCGAGTGTCGGGGAGCCTCAGGGCCACTAGACCTCCGCCCACCAGTGCGACAAATGACAGCAGGATGGGGACGGCTTTGGTGATGCCCACAAAGCTGGCGAAGATGGAGCTACCGAGGACCGCTGCCAGTTTGCACAGAGCATTAAGGACCCCGAACGCCGTAGCCCTAAAACACAAAGAAGACAAGCTGGTTCTTTCTATCTGCAAATGACAGCATGAGCCAAGACTACTGCTACAGTATATGAAGAATACTACTGTGATCTCCACTGTCCGCTCTTTCTCTAGAACTACTCCTGTTATAAATCTGAGTTGTTTATATTAGTGTTAACTTCTCGGAGCGGCCAATTTTGAGAGAGAGGTCTGCTCCCATGAACAGGACCCAGGCTGTAGAGAACTGAGGCTGTGCAGTGCAAGACCCAGGGAATAGGTTTTAAACTAAACCTTTTCCCTTAGATTTAAGGAGTTACAAAGTGCTGTTTTTTTTAGTCCCTAAAATAATTCTTCAAATCTGCCATTGGCCACTCAAACTTCGAAAACATTTTTTACCACAAAAAACTCATAATTTGATTTCTGGTCCTGTCATGATTTCAATTAAATACAGTTATGTTATTCATAGGTACATGCTTGAAAGAAAATATGGTGTTATAACAGACACATATCTTTTGTAAATAATAGAAAATAAACATAAAATATAAACTTTTAGGGAAATGTTCAACTTTGCTTGTTTTTAGATTTCCTGACAATCCTATCCATAATATGCACTATAAAATACAGAGTCGAACACATTCATTCATCAGTAGTGTGGGAAGTAGCTTGTCTCATGTGCCAAACGGTAATTTATAAACTGCATTTGTGTGATCTCATGATAATAGCATGACAGGTTATATTATTTGGATGGATTTAAAAACTACAATCAGTTTCATGAAATATTGTCTTATATGAGTTTAAAATGACTGAACAATCAAAAACTAAACACACCACATTATCTCACATCATAATGACACAGCTATCTATTAAAAGCAAAAGGATGTAGTTGTAAATGGATCCCCTTTAACTACCTTTTTGAGGCGGGGTACAGCTCCACTGTGACCACTTCGATGCCGTTCCACGCGGCGACACTCACGCCACAGAACAGGCACTGCAGAGCGATGATTGCTGATTGGCTGAAGGTCAAGAACAGAAGGAAAGTACAACCTGCAGATATGAGCATGGAGCCTCCTGGGGGACACAGACAAACAAAATCATGTGAGGGAAATCTTACTGAAACTAACCACTTACTACACCAATCTGCCTCTACAGGTACAACTGGATTAACAAATGTGAACTATTACTAAATAAAGACAAACTTGTCAAATAAAATATTTTGGGTTGGGCTCGGATTAATTTGAATTAACTCCACACTCACAAAAATCCTTTAGGGATTTTACATGGCTACTGTCTGAAGCTTTTTGGTTTATACAATTAATTACAAGTGCCTACATCTCATTTTTAGTTGAAGGGGAATTGTTAAAATCCAAAATGTTTTGTGTTTAACGGTGTCACTTCATCTGTATTTAGGCCATTCTATATATCAATTCTTTGCACACTGAAACCCTTCAGTCACTTTGTATCGGCCTCTGAAAAGGTGTTAGTATAGCTACTGTAATCATTGTGCAATGACCCAGTCAATGCAAAAGAATAAACAAATATATCCTATCCTCAGACAGCAGCTACACCCTCCTTCATATTCACCCTGGACAATGTAGGTGGACTTTGGAGTTTGATCTTTCCCTGTGCACAGATTGTTACCACTTATAATTTTGATTAAATTAGTTATCAGTGGGCGAAAACACAGGGGCCCAGCTTCATAAAGAGTCCAGCCATTTGTTTATGCTCCAAGGGGTTCTCCTGGGGGTTCTCAGACAGATTCAGTGTGCACTTTTACCAAATTTGGGACAGGTCTGTATATTATTAAGCAGCTAACAAACTCACCAATTATTTTGACTCTCCCAATCTTCTCCATGAAAAGCGCTGATATGATGTTTCCAGGCAGGACGGCCAAACTGCCCAAGAAGCTGACCAGATATATGAGGACGTCGTTCTCCTCCTTGATGTCCAAGTGGCAGCCATGTTTGTTGTGCTCAAAGGTGGTGTTCTCCAACTTACAGTCAATGAAGCGCTCCTCCCAGAGATCTGAAAAAGAAACAAGTCTTGAGTTATGTACAATAGTCGCAGAGCAAGCTTAAAAAGTCTGAACAAAGCTGAAAAATAATACATGTTGTTTGCCCCAACTAAACTAAAATGTTCTGAAAAGATCTGAGAACAACATGCTATCTTTATCATATTAGAAATCATTTATATTTTGTGTTGGTCTCACAGCTGAATTTTAGTTGCTTTTTTTTCATAGATAAAAAACATGTGAAAACCAGATCCCGTTGGACCGTTGACATTAAGCAGGGCAGGGCTTGGTTAGTACTATGATGAGAGACCACTGGGAACACCAGGTGCCACAGTAGGGCGGCTGTGGCTGTAAAGTGCCAAAATGTCGTTGAGTTCTTAGGCAAGACACTTCACCCACATTGTCTGGAATGAGTCTGGTTTGTGTTGATGGTTTGTGATGGTGGGAGTTGCTGATAGCACATACTGGTTGTGCCACCTGTTAGTTTATCACCAGTGTGTATGTAGTGAACTAAATCCATGTGAAGCGTCTTTGAGTGTCCAAAATGCACTATATACAATCAATGCATTATTATTATAAATTTAAAATCTACCTAATGTCATAGCTTTCAGAGATAAGGTGGAATGTGACACTCGTGTAATAAACACAAAGCAATTTTGAGTTTTTGTTTAGTTTATACACAGCTCAGCGATGGATCACTTCTGGGATTACACTGCTTTGTCAATTACAATGAATAGTCATAAACATGTTAGGTCTATCTATCTTCAGGAAGCCTGTAGATACAGGTGCTAATTTCATTCAAAGATCATATTTCACATTTGACACAGATACTGTCTGCATTGAGACTATAAATAGTTCCCAGTGTAATGGATGGTCATGCAGTCACAGAGAGGTCATGTCTGCATATATTTCACATATAGTCGGTCTACACAGGAAAGATAGAGTCGCCTTGAAGTGTATCAGTCAATTAAAAGGAAGTGTTCACCTTTCTAACTGTGCAGTGATTATAAAGGGCTAACATTAGTGGTACGTCAATGTCAATGTTATTTATGCAGCACAGTTACAACAACACTTGCCATGGTGTTTATGCTTCTTATACAAACGCATTACATTACATTGTTGACGGTGCGTTGACTTGTATGACAAATAAATCCAATACACAAATAAATCTAAAGCCAACCAAAGTCACACACACACGTAAAAGAAACACGTTTAAGTAAGTAAGTAATGTTTATTTATATATCGCCTTTCACAGACCAGAGTCACAAAGCGGTTTACAATTGTTATTTTGGGCATTTGTCTCTCACTCTACACAGAGATGGGAGCGGGGTCGCCAGTACAAGAGGCGCATGCCAGACCTATTGCACATGTTTTTAGTGGTAGGGGGAAACCAAAGTACCCGGAGGAAACTTACGCTTGTTTGATAATTAATATATGGTGTTTGTCCCCACAGAAAAAGAGTCTTGTCATTGTCAATTGTGTGTGCTCCCTGTGTGCTCTTATTACAGTCATGTATGTCCACTGCAATATTGAATTATCCCCACAGTGGGACACAAAAAGGTTCCCTTTTCTTATCTTATCTTATCTTACTATGCCAAAAAATAATTCTAATTCTAAGAACCCCAAACTTGTCTGAGTCTCTCCAGATTGAATGAGCATTTGGGCGCAGACGCAGTTAGTTTTGTTTATGTACCTGTCTTGTACACACTGGGGACTTTTGCAAATGTATTCCACTGTGGTTTTACTGCAAATGGCAAATAAAATAGATCTGAATCAGAGACCCACCTGTGTTGGTAAAGACCGTGGAGCGGATGGTGCAGTTCTCAAATACAGTGTCAGTGGACCTGATGTTCTCAAAGTGGCAGTCTTCAAACAGGGAGTCTTCAAACTTGACTGATATCATCTCTATGTTGATGAACCTATGAGCATGGCATGGACACACACAGACAAACTGACAGGCCAAAACAACGTGAACTTCTATTGCAATGGCAGCGGCAGAACCAGAGCTGACAGAATGTGAGTGTGTTCGATAAAACTAGCGGAGCCATTCTGTCACTTGGAGCTCTGTGAAACGCATAGAAGTGTGGGGATATACAGTGTCGAGACAAACTGTATATCCTCCCTGGTGTCTTCTCTTTGAAGGTGAAGCTTGTTTGCGTAAAGATAAACTGGTTTTGATATTTCTCAAGAATTACTGTATATCAACGCTATATTTCTAGGATATACTTGACTTGAAAGGTAATTTTGGTTTGAAAATAGGCTAATCTGGTTAAATGAAGTATCTCTGATGATAATCCAGGTCGGATCATCCTCTAGAACAGGGGTGTCAAACTCATTTTGATCAGGGGCCAAATTTTTGTTTTTTAACTGATTGGAGGTCGAAAGAATAGAAGAGATTTTCTTTTATTATACTTTTTTTTACATTATGAATGTATATTTACATGACTTTTATGTGACATGAGTTTCAGTATTATTTTCTGGTAGATTTTTCAGAAAGCATAATGTGTTTATAGTTTGGATTTAACCAAAACTGACATTGATTTTTATTTAACTATTTAATTTCTAATGATGTGTTGGGTTAAAATTTTAGAATACATTAAATGTTGTTGTTTTCCTGCGAAAATAGATGCTGTATAACATGCCTTTGTTCTCCCAAAATCAATACCGCAAGTTAATAATAATAATTGAAAATCATATTAGGAGCCACTAAAAATTGTCTTGCGGATTTGGCCCACGAGCCTGAGTTTGACATGCCTGTTCTAGAGTATGTCTTTGGCATTCATCTGTAGGTTAGACGGCAGTACAAGCACAGAGGGCTCATTCTCCACATTGATTTTCTGTAACGCTCCTAAATAGCTTTAATTATGCCTGTCAAATAATGTCAATATATCAAAAACTAAAGATGATCTTAAAGGCTGGTTCAAAACCAGTGAATTATCTTCAGCCAGCTTCACATTAATGAGTAATGAAATCCTAGTATACACCATTGTCTTCTCTTATGTAGCAGTGTGAAGAGCGCAGAAACCCACTGTTTGCGGCTTTCACGATGCATAATGAGCCTGACTCTCATTAGCATATGCAGTATAGTATTGCCTGCTAACATATACGTAGCTAATGCATTCAACACAAGATCATGCTGCTATGAACACAGAATGAAATGATAAAGTACAATCATTACATTAATGTACGTAGGTCTAATTACAGAAGTCGTTAACAGACTATTTAACACTGTTGATGTCTCTCACTCTGCTACTACAGTGTGACACTCACTTATCACGGATGTACTCCCCTTCTTTGTGGATCTGATTCTCCAAAGAGAAATTAAAATGGAAATTTTCCACTCGTTCTTTATGGAAAACCTGAGAACACAAGAGGGAACAGTTCATTATTTTTGCCTACAGCAGCCAAACTCGTTAGACAGTCAGAGATTCTTGGACAGAACCAAGAATATTTATTAACAGGGTCTCAGAACGGTTTTCTTGATTCAGGATCATAGACCGTATATTAGGTGTGGACTAATTAATCCTAAAGGATCAGTCCCACCCTCAAATAACTCCACTCGCTCGCCTTTCTATAACGCATTCCATAGGAGCACAATATAATGCCTCAAATCCAACAATTCCTCTTCACTCTCATCAGAACCTTCTGAACCTAGCTCTTCAAAACTGCCAACACAAAACTATTTTTGTTTTTTTATATTTTTTCACCGTCCCTTTATAAGGCGTCTTTGAGTGTCCACTGTTAAAGTGATTGTCTGGAGTTTGTCAGAAAGAAAGACAGAGAGGTACTTGATTTAAAAAAAAACCGACGCAAGCTCCCTCCCCCTTCCTTTCTGATTGGTCTACACCTACGTTTCCGTAACACTTTCAAATGTTAATCAGAGAACACATTATACATATACATTATTAATACACATGCACAGAGGTTTTCAGAATGATTTGTTAACGTTTTCATGACAAAAATAATGTTTTAATGCACAAAAAAGCGATCGTGGCAAACCCGGAAGTAGCTATTATCATGAATTGAACATTATAGGACACATCTGCAGAGGATCTGATTATGGATATAGGTTCAGTATATAAATGAGTAATTCTTTGTTCAGTTTTCATGTAGTTTTAGAGCCTAATGGAGGCTTGATACGGAGGCTCCGCGAAAACAAACAACTGAGCATCAGCGCGATGATTGACAGCCCTTGGCATCACTTGATTGGTTAACGTGGACAGCATCATGGATTCTGAGCTATAGCTAAGAGAAGGGAAGGCGGGACTTACCCGTAATATTAGAATTAATAAAATGACTTATTTCATATCAACATTTAAGGCCAGGAGGTCAATTTAATACAATTCTTAATATTTGTAATTCATTTAGAGTTCACTTTAAAGTACAATGTAATATTATATTATTATTATTATTATTATTATTATTATTATTATTATTATTATTTTCCTGTCTAAAGGTGGCATGTTGACCACTTATACAGCTGCTAAAAAGGGGCACGATGCATTTTAAGCTGGGAAACAATATTTTCAGAATCCTAAACTATCCAAACGCATTTCAGATGTATTTGCACAGTGAGAAACCATGAACTTGCCTTGTTTTTTTTACCAACCATGACAAAGAGAAATGTGTTACCTTGACTCTGGCCTCATACTCCTCATACTGCAGGTGTTTGATCATGTCCGGGAACCACACAGACAGACCATAATAACTGCAAAACAGAAGGTTGTTTTAGGGGTGTTTTTGCCCATATTGTGTTTTTATGCAATTTCTGGGGGAAATATTCTATTCCGCTTTTGTAGTTATTTGTGGTCTTTGATTTCTTTACACAAGCAATAAGCAATAAAGTGCTATTAACACATAAAAGCTTGATATAAGCAATACAAAGTTGAAGTAAAGTTGTTCTCTCAATGTTAAAGACATGTGTTTTGATAAAAATAATCAAAATAATCAAAATAATCAAATAAAAAAAGGGTCACAAACCTGAAGGCCATACAGAACCAGAGGATGGCCATATAGAGTGTGGCAAATCTCAGCTCCACAGACAGAAGAGAGGCAACATTTTTCAGCACCTGTTCAAGAGCAAATATATGATTTTTTAAATGTATGTCATTTTCATTTTCCAAACAAGATAAACATTGACAAAAAAGCGTTAAGCAGTTTTCAAACTTTTTAATAGAAGTCCCAGTGTCAGACAACTTAAACACAAACACATACTGTATTTGAAGCTCTATCTTGGAGCTTTATCTTTTGCATATGTTTATAGAATCATACACATTATTACAATTATACATCAATTATCATTCCAATTATACATGGGATGATAGTGAATTTTTGAAGAAATAGCATAAATTACACTTAGGACGTACCAGTTTACAGAGGGTCAGAGAACGCACTGCCCAGCGCTGCACCGGTGTCCCTGTGGCTGCCTGGATCTCAATAAACTCGTCCTCTGCTGTTTTGGGAGCCTTGATATGAGTTACCTGAATGACGCAATAAAATAGTAGTTAATTGGTCTGAATTTATTTTCTATTTAATCACTGCATTTATAGCACTATGCATCTGCACTATGATTGAACAGTGAGCCAAACACTGGGCAATAGCAAGGCCTCATGTGGATGTGAACTATGACTGCATACTGCTATAACTGTGATTTGGTATTATTGATTTTTCCATGTGAAATACTCACTGTAAAGACTTTCTCAGGCTGCCCCTTGGCTCTCCAGTTGGTGTCATGGACCTGCTTCAGAATCATCCAGGCTTCGTCGTGCTTGGCATTCTGTCACCAAATTCAATAAGCAGGTGTCAATAATTGATGAACAGATGAACTGGGAGTCACAGACAGAGGGTAATGGTGTTTGCATCTCACCTCCAGAAGGAAGCGGGGGCTCTCAGGCATGAAGGTCAGCCCCACCAGAGAGGCAATGGCCGGTAGAGCCGCTACCAGCACAAAGACTCTCCAGCTGTGGAACTGGAATTCTGTGCCCATGCTGAAGCCCCACCCTGCACACAACCACAGCACACGCAAAAAATATATTATGTAATGATGTATGTATATATAATCAATAATATTATATCAAAATCTGCCAAAACAACAGCCTATGATTGATGGATGTGTCACGTGGTGAAGTGAAGGAGGACTCAAAATGCAGGAATGCAAGGTAAAAACAAACTCAAAAGTCCAAATGAAACTAAGGAACCAGAAACATGGACATAGACAAACAAAGACAATGAACCAGCAACAAGGGGAGATGAGCACAGGTACATATAGACACGTTAGGGCAGAGCAGACAATTAACACAGGGGAACAGGAAGTCAAACTAAAACAAAACCACAGAGCTGAAGTCAAAATAAATCCAAGTACAAAAATTAAATCTACACCATGACAGGATGAGAGTAAACCAAAGGTCGACAGAGGTGCAGAGTGGAGGAAGTACCGTATCTGGGAATGATTCCCCAGGCTGTGAACGAGGCGTAGATCCCTCCCATCATCCAGAACATACAGAGCCAGGACAAGTGCTCCCCTCTTTTGTCCATCTGAAGAAACTCCGCAAAGTATGTGTAGACAATCGGAATTGTGCCTCCAATTCTGCCAACACAATGGTTACAACAAATGTTTAAACCTGATTTTCCTATACCAGTAATCATTCATAGACCAACTAAAAAAGCCCTCCAAACCTGGAAAAGATGTATTGAGTATGTAATGAAATCTGCTCATATATATTATGTACACATATACATACCCTTTTTCTGTCTTTGCACAACCTGAGTGATCCTATTTATGCCAAATGTGACATGTATATTTCTCCATTGTGAGATCAATAAAGTCTATCTTATCTGATCTTAAAGCACCATTCACATAAATTTCCCGGTAAATGTCCAGGTTCCGGACATTTATAACACTCCCATAAACCATGTACTATTCACAATTCAAATCAGATGTCGTAACATACCGCTTCACATAAACAACACGTTAACGGAAACACGAATGACATAATTCCCAGACGACAGATGATCAACAGCCGAGAGAGTAAAACAAATGAGCTGTGTCCAAATATCCACCCTATTACTCAAGAAGCTAATTCACAACAACAGCGGACAGTGACAGGTCTGGAATCATCGCTACAAGACAAACAAAAATCTCCTTGTCTGAGAGACTAGTCAATTATTTCAAGTAATTATTTTACTGTGGCGTGTTTTCAGACTTATATTATACTTTACAGAAATTAAAGTAAATACGTCCATTCTTCCAAGACCAAATTCAAAGTGGGATAATATTTCTCTACTAGAGCTGCAACTAACGATTATTTTGTAATCGATTAATCTATCGATTATTTTTACGATTAATCGAGTAATCACTTGGCTGTGAATTGTGTAGAAAAAAAATATTTTTTCATCACAAAAAGCTAAAGTGGCAACACTCGAGGACGTATTGATGGCGTAAACTTAAAGTAAATGTTTGTAACAGGCTCTTTGTGCTAATTCTGCTCTGATTGGATGAGACAGACAGATATTCATGAAATTATAAAAACAAAGTCGGTTTTAATCAAAAATACTACATTTTCATGTCATTTTTGCTCTGTTTGAGTCCGTGTGAACCAGAAAACGATTAATCGATTACTAAAATAGTTGTCGACTATTTCAATAATCGATTAGTAGTCGATTAATCGATTAGTTGTTTCAGCCCTATTCTCTACCAATCACAAAATCAATCAAATGTATTCTCTTTATAGTCTCTGCTTTGTCTGCATTATTAACTACTCTATATATATTCACATTGCTGCTAGTCTATATTCTAATATGGTGCGACCCGTGATAAAACCTATGAAGTGAATGTGCTCATGTGAAAACATAGTTTATTGGGTGTGAACAGCGGTGCATGGATACGCCTTCTCTGTGCTCGGAGTGTGTGACCTGGTTTCTGAGTGGGTCCCTGTAGAATTGGGTTATTTTAAGACGGCGCTGGGTGTAGCGTCAGCCCGCCGCGCATATGGTGTGTCTGACGGCGGTATATGAGATATGGATTTATAGGGATGCGTTACCTGCTGTGAATGTGCTGCAGTACACATAAAACATGCAGAGGTCTAATGAATGTGCAGCAGCTGTGAGGGTCACACCAGTTTTAAATGAACGAATCAATACTGAACACGGACATGGACAGACGAGTCAACAACACAAGACAGTGTTTGTTGTAAGTAGACTTATCTGATGAGGGTTTGCTAACTGGTTTGCCGCCAAAGATATGTACAGGCGAAACTCGGAAAATTAAAATATCGTTCAAAAGTAAATTTATTTTGTTATTCCAACTTAAATTGTTAAACCAATACATGATATCAGACTCAGACTCATTAGCCAAGTCTTTGTTTATTTTCATTTTGATGATTATGGCAATTCTAATTTTCTGAGATTTTTTATTGGGTGTTTTTAAAAGCTCAGTTCAAGTGAATTAATTTTTGTATAGCCCTAAATCACAACAGCTGCCATCTCAGAGGACCTTACAAGTGTGTCATATATTTCATTGTAAGCCGAAATACTAAAGTAAATGGTCAAATAAAATTTTCTTTGATATGAAGGTACCTCATATCAAGTATTTTACAATTACAACTGTTTTTACTGCTCAAAAAAGTACGATGAGCAGCAGGCTCATTTAAATTAAAAGAAATAAACCACGTGTAGGAGTTTTTAGTAGTAGAAACCTATGCAGACACAGGGGGAACCAGACTCCCGGGAGTTGAACCCAGGATCTCCTCGCTGAGATGCCACTGTGTTGCATTTACTGTATATTGAAGTTACAATTTGTTGTGTTGTGAAAGATAGGTATGCCATCTTTAACTTAGTGATGCCACTTCAATTTTTCATTTAAATTACCCAGAAAGGTAAGTTAAGACAGGCCTGACATTTTCAAAAGGCCACTGCAGCTACAATTAACTCAATTCCCATTGATTTTCACAAAAAACATACTGCCGATGTACTGCAGCACGTGAACACAGTTTTACTCATAAGTTTACATAGAATTGGTACTTTCATACACATTTATCGGAGAATATGAATGATGACCACAAACTACCTAAATGATCATAAATAAGTTTTAATTTTTAGGCTCACAAGTTAACACGCACAGGTTTGAAAAGCTACCTAAGGTAACCACCTCATGATTATGGTTTATCTTAACACTCTCCAGGCAGGCGTAGAAGATTTGCAACAACTTAATTTCTTATTTCCTAACTCCTCCACATCCATATTCTTGACCCTCTTTACTCAGAAGTACCACTGCTGGACTTAGTTTAGCTTTAGCAAAACCTGCTCTCCAGCAGGCAGAGCTGTATTTCTTCCAAAATGTCCTCCTCCATCTCCTTGTTTTCACTGAAACAGATTTTCTAGGCATCAATTTAAAGTAAGTATCACTACCAACCTCCGATAATTTGAAACCAAAACTGCATAAAATGAAATGAATATATACAGTACATGCCAATTAGTAGATTATATCTCCTCTGGGATTTTCCCCGGGTCAGCTCAATTTACCACAATTGCCTGTGGCGGTCTCTCTCTCAAAAAAAAGTCAGGATTGTATTTCTATTCCATTTGAATAATTTCAAATTTAAATTCGGCGAGAGGGTTTATATTGCAAATACATTCCGAGACTTATTGTAAGACCAACATCAAAATGCTGTATGTATGGATGTATGATTCCACTGTGTTTAAAGTTGTTGTAGTTACCCAATTCCAGAAAGCAGCCTGAAGAAGAGGAAGAATCCGTATCCCTGGGCAAAGGAGGAGAGGAAGGCAAAAACACAGTTGATGGCCAGTGCCACAACCAGACACTTTTTCCGTCCGAGTTTATCTGCCAGTCCACCCCAGAGAAACGCTCCCACCATCATGCTCAGGAACACCACCAAACCTGCAACACATCAGCAAACACTATTCTTTTGTTTTCTCCATACTTCTCATTAGAATAAAAATCCTCTGCAGCCAGATGGTAAATCGTCAATCCCATGATGGCTGCCTAAGTTTTCTAAAATGCACACTCTTGGCTTGTTGGAATGCAGTTCGGTAGTTAATTCAGGATTTATTGAATTAATTCCAATGCCTAATCGAGCACAAAGCCAGTCGTAAAACTCTTTCTTAACTTAATTAAAAAGCTACAAGCCCAGAATCCTTCAACTCGGTGACTATAGTGGTGAGTCCTGGAGCTATAGCCTGTCCGTCTGTGGGAGCGGATTCCTCTCTCATTGTGGGCCTCCCCGAGGTTTCTCGCTTTTTCCCACTGGGTTTTTGAGTCGTTTCTCGCCAATGCAGGAGGGTCTAAAAACAGTGATGACATTTATTATGGTCATCCGCCCCCTATGGACCCCTATGTGTGTTTGTTATCATTACATCTCCTGTGTTCCAACTCTTTGATTCTCTGATGTGTGTTGCAGGATCGTGATTTTTTAAAGGCCTCCGAGACTTCTGCTGTTATGATTTAGGGTGTTGGTAGAGCATTGGCCTTTGGGCCTGGAGGTCGTGGGTTCCAGCCCACCGTAAGACCTGCTTCACGACTCCCACAGATGTCTGCTGTGGTTGTGTCCACTTAACAAGACACTTAACTCCACTTTGCCTGAAGACCCCGCTGAAAGATCAAGGCTCCTGCAGACTCACCAGTGGATCAGTGAGGGGCTGGTCCTATGTGCAGCTCTGTGCAGGGGAAGAAAATGGATGGATGGAAACTTTTAAAAATTCTTCTATTCAACTTTCTATGCTTTCTATGTAAACAATAACATGTTTTTGAATGAAATAAAAGCAGTGGTTGTGGTCTGATTTGTACCATAACCGCACAAATCTCATGTAGGACAAACAAAAAAGGTTTGCTCAAATTTTAACTTTATATTGCAAGGTTTAAAAAAAAAATGTTCCAAAGTTAATTTCACCTATCAATTCAGTTAAAGCAGTTTTCTTTGAGGACTTTAGATGATTTGCAAACAATAGATCACAGAATCAAACAGTTCGAAGGAAATGCAACACATAGAAGCCATAAAGATTCAGGCTTCAAACATAAAGATATAAAATTATTTTTTTTGTCATTAATCAACAACAACAAAACAACAAAATTTAAAAATTTGGAACAAAATTTATCGGATAATTCAAACTTTTTTAACAAATAAAAAACTGAAAAGTGGGGCGTGCAATATTAATCGGCCCCTTTACTTTCAGTGCAGCAAACTCACTCCAGAAGTTCAGTGAGGATCTTTGAATGATCCAATGTTGTCCTAAATGACTGATGATGATAAATCGAATGCACCTGTGTGTAATCAAGTCTCCGTATAAATGCACCTGCTCTTTGATAGTCTCAGGGTTCTGTTTAAAGCGCAGAGAGAACCATGAAGACAAAGGAACACACCAGGCAGGGCCGAGATACTGTTGTGGAGAAGTTTAAAGCCGGATTTGGATACAAAAAGATTTCCCAAGCTTTAAACATCTCAAGGAGCACTGTGCAAGCAATTATATTGAAATGCAAGGAGTATCTACCAAGACCCGGCCGTCCCTCCAAACTTTCATCTCAAACAAGGAGAAGACTGATCAGAGATGCAGCCAAGAGGCCCATGATCACTCTGGATGAACTGCAGATAACTACAGCTGAGTTGGGAGAGTCTGTCCATAGGACAACAATCAGTCGTGCTCTGCACAAATCTGGCCTTTATGGAAGAGTGGCAAGAAGAAAGCCATTTCTCAAAGATATCCATAAAAAGTCTCGTTTAAAGTTTGCCACAAGCCACCTGGGAGACACACTAAACATGTGGAAGAAGGTGCTCTGGTCAGATGAAACCAAAATCGAACTTTTGGCCACAATGCAAAACGATATGTTTGGCATAAAAGCAACACAGCTCATCACCCTGAACACACCATCCCCACTGTCAAACATGGTGGTGGCAGCATCATGGTTTGGGCCTGCTTTTCTTCAGCAGGGACAGGGAAGATGGCTAAAATTGATGGAAGATGGATGGAACCAAATACAGGACCATTCTGGAAGAAAACCTGTTGGAGTCTGCAAAAGACCTGAGACTGGGACGGAGATGTCTCTTCCAACAGGACAATGATCCAAAACATAAAGCCAAATCTACAATGGAATGGTTCACAAATAGACGTATCCAGGTGTTAGAATGGCCAAGTCAAAGTCCAGACCTGAATCCAATCGAGAATCTGTGGAAAGAGCTGAAGACTGCTGTTCACAAACGCTCTCCATCCAACCTCACTGAGCTCGAGCTGTTTTGCAAGGAAGAATGGTCAAGAATTCCAGTCTCTCGATGTGCAAAACTGATAGAGACATACCCCAAGCGACTTGCAGCTGTAATTGCAGCAAAAGGTGGCGCTACAAAGTATTAGTGCAAGGGGGCCGAATAATATTGCACGCCCCACTTTTCAGTTTTTTATTTGTTAAAAAAGTTTAAATTATCCAATAAATTTCGTTCCACTTCACGATTGTGTCCCACTTGTTGTTGATCCTTGACATTTTTTTTAATTTTCATATCTTTATGTTTGAAGCCTGAAATGTGGCGAAATGTTGAAAGGTTCAAGGGGGCCGAATACTTTCGCAAGGCACTGTATAGGGAGAAGAATGACAAATGTCCATAAATGTCCTGGATCATCACTGTCCTTAGACCTTCCTGCATCGACAAGAAACTGAAAAAAAAAACAATGGGAAAACATGTTGAATTATCAAGTAAAATGCAAACCAAAAACCATATTTGTATTTATAATTTGATTAATCTAAACTTGCCTCCTTTTTCAGCCACTCTTCTGAGAGTATTTCTGTGCCAACTATGCTGCCAGCCTTAAACGGATGGGGCAGATGGAACCGCGCAGCAGCAGGAAGCAAACATGACTCAGCAGAAAGAGTCAAAACCACCTCTCACTACATTCAGCTCTGGGTCTATATACTCCAGAAAGTGAAGATAATTACAGATCTGCTTATGGGTAGATCAGTAGCACACGATTATGTAACCGATGGAGTGTTTTGGTCCTATAGTGGGATGTAGAGTAGAGCTGAGAGGCAAGGTCAGAACAGAGAGGATCGATCGCTTGATTTGCTGAGTCACAAACACTGCTTCAACCCACACCACCAGAACTCAGCAACAACAATGAAAGAGGTTCACAACAAAACAACACAAATCAAAACACTAAAATAACAATTATTTCAGTCAACAGCCATATACCTTTTCAATCTGTGTGTAATTTCTAAATTTGTAGGTAAAGTCAAGTACATTTCTCCAGAAGGCAAGTGAGTAAAAAGATGCGATAGAGAATATTAGGACAATGTGTGGATTAAAGCTGGGCTACGTCGCTTCCAATGTTGTTTTCAATTATGGAGTAAATGTATTCAAGTTCTCAGCTCTTAAACAGCTTGGTTCTTTCACTAGTTTCACTAATTGGGTCTAAGGACAGTAATGATCCAGGGCATGTATGAACTTTTAAAGTGGTTATCCCCCTATGGACCAACAGTTCATTTGCGTTTCCCTTATTTTGATTCCTGTGTTTCAATTGTTTGAAAATTGTTTGTGTCCTCCAAGAAGATTTCACAGCAAATTATATATTGACCCAAATAGTCAAAAGACACATGACATTCTGTCATCCGATAAGACAACAGCATGTACCCCAACTTTAAATGTTTATTTCCTTATGTGTGATTGATGTATTTGTTTCTAGAATAATCTGTAAATAAATACGTTCTACTTCGGCAATAATCTTTCACCCTGAGCTTATCATACAGTCGACAAAAATGGGTAGTACTTTCAGGGCTTAAACTATTTGCCTTCACTAAGGAGAACTTTACAAATACAATTAGAAACAAAACCATATGTACATAAAGAGTACACTTTTCAGAATGCTCAATAAAAACTCCACAATGAATAATCAGGTTGGCAGGCGTGTGTCTGCTAATCCCTGTTTGATCCTGGCTGTCACTAATGTTAATGCAGAAAAAAGAGTGAAAATCTTTCCAGATCTGTGCGATGATAGATCTGACATAACCAGCTGAATTAAATCTGCTCACACAGCTTTTTCCTTACACCCATAATTTGGATTTGAGTCAGACACAAACTGTAAATCCTTGCATACACAGTATTCTGAAGGGCCCATTAGCTAATAGCACTGCAGTATTTACACAAGAATTATGGACAACTCTCAAGCTACAGGAACAAATTCAGTCTGTGGCAGGGTTTTGCTTTATGTTAAAATATTGCAGATACACAGATAACCTTTGTATGAATAGACTTATTGTAACTTCTTTGATTGCAGGGTCAAAACAAGTTTTTACCACAGAAACCCTCCGAGAAAATAATACCCTTTTCTCGTAACCCCTTTGCACTTTTTGGGATATATTTCATCTAAAACGTCTGTTAAAGTTGACAATATCCAAACTGAACATGTGTGAGACCCCATTGAAATGCACAAACATGAGAAGCTGAGGCCCTGTAGTTTTGGGCTCTGATTACTCTCATTATAAGAGGTAACAATCTTTGCACGAACAAATTTCTAAAGCTGGCAGCTCTGATAGATAGGAGAACGACCAATTCTTAGGTTTCTACAGCAGATGCAAATTTCACAAATGAAGAGAACTAATAAAGTAAAAAAGTAGAACACATGAGAAAAAATCCCTATTAGTTAGTACTTTGCAAATGTTGTGGATAAATTGTTATTTGTCTCTCAGCTGGCCTGGGAAGGAGCTGGAGGAAGTGTGTGTGGATGGAGAAATCTGGGCCTCTCAGATTGCTGCCCTCACAGGCCCGGCAATGAATGAAGTAGAAGAAAATTAATAGATAGATATTATTTGTGAGTTTGAATTTGAATCTTTATATTGATGCTTCACATGTCCAGGAGTTGTATTTATTGGCTTACAAAAGACAAAATCACAATCCTTACCCAGCGTCCCTTTCTCTGCGTTGGACAAACACAGGTCCTTTTCGGCCGAGGGTAATACAAAAGCCACCACAAAACACTCCACTCCATCAGCCATGAGTGCCAGCCCTAGCACCATGAAGAGCGTCCATTGGAACTTCCCGTGTCCACAGTCCTCCATGATGTTCTCGTACTGCTCGGACAGCTCCTGCAACTCCGAGGCCGCGCTCGCCCCGCCACGAGACTTTGTCCTGCAACAGTGAATAAGTGTTTAAAGATCATTGCCAGATTTAAACTGGAAGTTCTTATCATTGACATTGTAGCAAATATATACAGTAAGTAGAGGCTCAGGTGAGAGAGTGTTTGTGAGCTCAAATCTACATGTACTTAGTTTGACTTATTATGTCCTTGGGAGTTCATATAAGATATTATTTAGGCAAGGGACATTTATTTGTTTAACACAATTCATACACAAGGAAACTCAATATGATTCACAAAACAAAAAGAAAACCTTGAGGGAAAATTACATCATAAAAACATAATAGTGTAGGCTTAAATAAGAGTGCTTATAAGAGTGCTGGTAAATCTGAACCTTATGCAAAATATTTCAGCTACAGCATGCAACTAAACAGTACTGTTTCTCCCCTGGATTAGAACATTATCAGAGTGGAAGCTTGTCTCACTCATTTCCAGGTTGTAGCTGCATACATCTATAAATAATTATTCCCGCACACTGTTTTACTTGCAAAATAAGAATTTATTGGGAATGCGACGTTTCGGCGTCACGCCTTCAACAAGAAAATGAAGGCGTTACACCAAAATGTTGCATTCCCAGTAAATTGTGATTTCACAAGTATAAGGCGGTGTGCGGGAATGATTATTTTTGATTCATCTGTAGGCCTTACAGGCCTCTTCTCCAACGCAATTGATCAGTAGTAATTTATGTGCAGAGGCACTGGTTCCAGAGGGCTAATGTGAACCTGTTCCCTGGTTCCTCTCAGGACACTAGCAGCAGCATTTTGAATATGCTGCTTGTTTACAGTTTGTTTTGAGAGTCCAGTCAGAAGGTCGTTTCTCTCATTTGATTTAATTCAGTCTAAACTACTGAAGACAAATGAATGGATAAGTCTCTAAATCTGCTTTCTACATAATGAAGGAGTGAGAGCCCACTGGTCCATATTCTCCTGCTACATAGATCTGAGTGTAGTTGCGATAGAGAACTTTGTTACCACCACAGATTCTCATTGATCAATTTAGTTTGATTTAATTTTAGTTTTTCTGCAAAATAATTAGCACCAATTTGATAAAATTAAACAATACATTTTGGGGGCAATAATCATGACGGTGATCTCATGAGATGGTTCTCTCATCTTGTTGGCAAGTTACTTCATTCGGCAAAGTACCTTTTGAATTTCCCCGTCATCCTGTGTGAAGCAGAAATTTCGCTCTCACACATCCGTAATACACACTACTTTGAGTACAAGTGGACTCAACTTCTTTTATGACAACATCTAGTGTAGTTTTAGTATTTAGAATTAGTATGAATCTTACCGTGCTGCCCTTTGTGAGGCTTTGGTCTCATCTGGATGTGGAATTCCCTGGTACTCGCCCTCGTACATCTGGTCCTCCTCATCATGGCCCTCTGTGGCATCACTGGCAGCATCCTCCTCCTGAGCCGGGTAGTCTGCCTGGTACCCGTAACCATCCTGGCCACCGCCTTCTCCGTACGTCCCGTAAGCATCTCCTCGGCCTTGGTGATAGTAATTGTTCTGGTAGGGGTCAGCCATCTTGTTTTAAGCAAATGTAGGGTATTGCTGGTTTAAATATCGGTCGGGCAGCTTTAAATGAACAATGACTCAGCTGAATATGTCCATTGGTCTCAGTCGGTCTCGTTAGATCCCTGAAATCCACAGTTCAGGCATGGGCCTTTGATGACATGTTCTAATCGGTTTTGTATTGAAAAATATAACTTGAGCGACAGAAGAATGGTCCTTTGCTGTTTCTTCTTTTCGAAAGGCTGAAAAAGAAAGAAAGCAAAAAATTAGCTTCAATAAAAAAGGAGGAAGTTCAGATTGCTACTCCAGTGTGGGACTGCAATACAGTGCCAGAAATAAGAACGAATCCTATAAATATTTAATGAGAAGCTGCTTGTGTTGAGCAAAAAATCTACACTCTGACAGGTGCGGCTTTTATAAACGTACAGAGCCAAAGGTGAGGTTAGGAGAGTGCATTGTTTGTCATATTGTCCTGAAAGTGACAAATGGGATATTTTGCTTGCTCCTAGCTAGAAAAGAAAGTATTGAATTGTGCGACTGTGCATAAGAACGTTTTGTGCCACGGGTTTGGACTAAACATACTCCACAGTCAGGTCCAGAAATGTTAGGTCATCGACACAAAGAACTTGAACTGCTTTCATTTGATTAAGTGTGTCTCCCACTTTTTGAATGATCAAAAGTATTAGGATTTTACAACAAGAATTAATCACATGTAAACTTTGAAATAATTTGCTGCAAAACTTTTGAATGTTGATTACAGCTTAGAGGCATAGACATCAGCAGACACATTTAGAGTTCAAATACATCTAGTTCTTTTCATTTCAAATCCATCGCGGTGGTGATTAGACTAAAAAGTATGAGAACCATGTTGATGTCTCAATATCGATGGACCTGACAGCAAGACGGGCCCCTGGCAGCACGGTTGTCTGTGGTGTTATTGTAGTACTTAGCTATATGCAGTGTTAGTTACATAAATGTCATACAGTGCCTTGTGAAAGTATTCGGCCCCTTTGAACCTTTCATCATTTCGCCACATTTCAGGCTTCAAACATAAAGATATAAAAATTTAAATTTCTTGTCTCGAATCAACAACAAGTGGGACACAATCGTGAAGTGGAACGAAATGTATTGGATAATTTAAACTTTTTTAACAAATAAAAAAACTGAAAAGTGGGGCGTGCAATATTATTCGGCCCCCCTTGCGCTAATACTTTGTAGCGCCACCTTTTGCTGCAATTACAGCTGCAAGTCGCTTGGGGTATGTCTCTATCAGTTTTGTTATCTCAGCTCAGCTGTAGTTATCTGCAGTTCATCCAGAGTGATCATGGGCCTCTTGGCTGCATCTCTGATCAGTCTTCTCCTTGTTTGAGATGAAAGTTTGGAGGGACGGCCGGGTCTTGGTAGATTTGCAGTGGTCTGATACTCCTTCCATTTCAATATAATTGCTTGCACAGTTTAAAGCTTGGGAAATCTTTTTGTATCCAAATCCGGCTTTAAACTTCTCCACAACAGTGTCTCGGACCTGCCTGGTGTGTTCCTTTGTCTTCATGGTTCTCTCTGCGCTTTAAAAAGAACCCTGAGACTATCAAAGAGCAGGTGCATTTATACGGAGACTTGATTACACACAGGTGCATTCTATTTATCATCATCAGTCATTTAGGACAACATTGGATCATTCAAAGATCCTCACTGAACTTCTGGAGTGAGTTTGCTGCACTGAAAGTAAAGGGGCCAAATAATATTGCACGCCCCACTTTTCAGTTTTTTATTTGTTAAAAAAGTTTAAATTATCCAATAAATTTTGTTCCACTTCACGATCGTGTCCCACTTGTTGTTTGTTGATTCATGACAAAAAATTAAAATGTTATATCTTTATGTTTGAAGACTGAAATGTGGCAAAATGTTGAAAGGTTCAAGGGGGCCGAATACTTTCGCAAGGCACTGTATATGCTTTGCTTTCCTTGGTGTGACTTCTACTGATCTTTTTTTTTATTTATTTTTTTATTTATTTATTTAGGCATACAGGAAAATACATAGTTACAGTACAATAAACAACAAAGGTACTACTGGGGTTAGGGTAGGGTAAGTATGTGTGTGTGTGTGTGTGTGTGTGTGCGTGCATGTGTAAGTGTTTGAGCTTGTGGGAGATATAAAGCTGAGAAATATATACAAACATGTACACCTACATATACTCTTTCACATATATAGACCAGGATGCAATAACTATGACAATCAAACGGCAACTAACAATAAAGAAACAACGTACAAAAAGAATAGATAAGTAGATATTTGAAAACAATGACAATAACAATACTTATGTTGTGTTTTCCCCTGTGCTAGTGTTGCGTTAAAAAAATGTGTGGGGCCTAACAACTCCAGGTTGTTCACCCTCATTGGCTTCTACTGATCTTGACTGCAGGACTTATTCTGAAATATATTCCTAGCAGTTTGGCTAAAGAAAAGAAACAATGGATTGGCTCTACACTTCTTGTTGTTGGCACAGTGTTCATACATTACATTACAAAACAGTCCTGTTAGTTTGTTTTCTTCTACAACCACATGAAAGCTGTGTTCGTTTTGAAATACATCCTCAGGCTGGAAATACATTGATCCAACCCTTTTATCAAACACTTACTCATTTATATATTTTGGGACTTCTTTCACATAAAACCTCTACCCAATCGATTTGATATACATGGACTCAACAGGAATAAGTATGTATTCACGTGATTGCAGGGGTTTTGATAAACTACATTGAGTGTAATAAGTGTACAGTGTAATAAGTATATGTGGCTATAGATCTCACAGACAATAAAGCAGATAAGAGCACGAGAGCGGTCCTCTTTGTCCTTCTGCAGCGGAAGGAACATACAAAAATGCCTTTTTTCTTATTGCAGATGAAAATATTATTTATTATCAGATGTGACGGGGATGTCCACAGTAAGAAGGAATTGGAAATTTCATCAAGAGCAGAGATGTCATTGTTAGTAAGTCAGGCAGAGCATTCTGTAAACAAGGCATATTTGCTGATATTGTGATCCTTTTAGCACTTAGATATTTTAATGGATGTTCAAATGCTACTCAAACCTATCATGTTCTTTTTACATATACTGTACATGTTTGGTATTTATTATTGTGAAGTTTTTATTTAAAGCTGGTGTAACAAACTTTCAATCCATCAAATGTAATAAAATCCATTCAACAAGTTTTTGCGTGCATAAATAGTACAGACCAAAAGTTTGGAAACACTTTCTCATTCAATGAGTTTCCTTTCTTTTCATGACTATTGACTGTAGATTCACACCCAGGCTGTGTAAGGGCTGTTTGACCAATAAGGAGAGTGATGGTGCTGGGCCAGATGACCCGGCCTCCACAGTCACCGGAGCTGAACCCAATCCAGATGGTTTTGGGGTGAGCTGGACCACAGAGTGAAGGCGAAAGGGCCAACAAGTGCTAAGCATCTCTGGGAACTCCTTCAAGACTGTTGGAAGACCATTTCAGGTAACTACCTCTTGAAGTTCAACAAGAGAATGCCAAAAGTGTGCAAAGCAGTAATCAGAGCAAAAGGTGCTACTTTGAAGAACCTAGAAAAAAAAAAAATATTTTCAGTCTCACTATTTGACAGTTCCTCAACTTTGTGTTAGCAAGGCCACATCAAATGACACAGTGGGCCTTAAAGTTTGACATGTCTCAGTTAGACCCATTACATCTGAACATTAAAGCTGAGGTGCCTCACTTTTTTCTCATAAATAGTAAGTCAAATCAGTGCACAACAGCTGTTTTAATCTTACCTCTTTCACTAAAAGAACCCTGTGAGTCACTATTTGACTGACAGGGTTCTTTTAGTGAAAGAGGTAAGATTAAAACAGCTGTTGTGCACTGATTTGACTTACTATTTATGAGAAAAAAGTGAGGCACCTCAGCTTTAATGTTCAGATGTAATGGGTCTAACTGAGACATGTCAAACTTTAAGGCCCACTGTGTCATTTGATGTGGCCTTGCTAACACAAAGTTGAGGAACTGTCACCGTCTCATTCAGCCAACTCCATACGTTATATAAAAACACCTCATTGTAACGCTCAGAACCTTTGGAATCCAGCCTTTAACTTTATAAATACTGACATCTGTTTTTGATTGTGTCACAAAATGTCATACATGGCGCTGCTATAGCTATGGTGTGAACCAAAATGAACACATCATACTCCCACACATCCCACATCCAGTCAAAACAGTTTTACAATCCATGTCCATCAGTCCCTGAACAAGTCTGGTGCCCTCTCACTAAAAAGGTTGGGCCTAACCTGAATTCTGTAGAAATGTCTTTTGAGAGCTGTACTCCTTGATTGTGACTACATTTTGCATGTGATGGTGACTGGTCATGAGCAGCTTCTCTCCCTCAGACGCTGACTCAAGTCTGATGGTTCAGTGCATTATGCATGAGCCTGTTTACAAAAGCACCATCCCGTTTAAACAAGGGCCAAGGAGCAGGCATGCAGTCCAAAAAGGCCTTAATCTGTGATGTCATTATAAAACATTTCAATTTTGATGTTTGATGTTGATACCACTGGGATTCTTTGTAATGCTCTTTTTGGACAAAAAAATAATAATATGTAATAAAATATATCATACTTTTTGATGTGACCATAAGGTTTTATACAAGTTCTTCTGATATTATTGAAATACAGTCAACAAATGTTGTACTGTAAATGGATTGCAATTGGCCATTTGGCACAACAGAAAAAGACACATTGACAACAGACAATCGCCAGAATTTACACTTGATGTCAAACTAGTGCAGATTATTTGTGCAACTTTCTATTGAAGCATGGGGCTGTTTTCTGGGGCAGTGCGACAGCAGTAGGAGCAGGGTTGTGTGAGGCCAGAGGCCCAGACAGCTGTGTTCTCACTAAATGCTGCATATGTTTGGAGTCACAGCTGATCCACGTATCCTACAATATCTTCTTATTGCTCCTGTCTTATCTTCCTGAAGACAGTTCCCTCAAAACAAAGAT